TAACGGGGAATTTCAATTTCGGGTTTCTCCATCGAACTCGCATCGATTTTGTGTCTTATACAAACGCGTTAAAACGAGTTAAATTTCGTTTCTAATTAGAATTCGCCGTTGTATTTCGTTGTGTTCCGGTTTCGAGGGATTAAATGCACTTGCACCGCATTAAATACGGTTTATTGGTTTTCTTGCGCCCGCTATTTTGATTGTTAACGAATTGTTTGAGGAATTGTGGAACTGCTTCATTTTACAGGGTGAATGGTAAATTGAATAATTTCGCCCAAGAGAGTCATTTGTGGGTCCAAGAAAGTCAATTACCTGTGACTAAAAGAGTTAATTTTGTATATAACACAAAAAACTCTTACGCTTCCCAAGTAAGAGACCAGAATAAAGCGGCCTCTAACTTGTCAGAAGTTTCGCTCATTGCCGAACTATTTTCTAGCACTCTAGAAAGTCTTTTTGGGAATTCCTCTAATGCATTAAATTCGAATTATGGGAGTTTAATAGTCTATTTTATCGAACTTTACGCATATCGAATTAAATTAAATTCGGTTGTAAATAGGAACAGGAGGACGTGTGTTGCAAGTTACGATCAACGGATTTAACAGGCATTAGCAGGTTGAACGCCTGCTAATTATATTCCAAAGGATTATGATAGAGCCGGTAAAATTTGATTAAATCGTCACGTGTTGGGCTATTGTTTGTCCATTCTAGCAAAACAAACGGTTTCACGCCGATTTCGGCACGTTTACCACACGAAACGATTTATATAAAATTATAATAATAAATATAAATACGTTTTATGCAATTCTATAATGGCCCGAAAAATCAATTAAAAAAAGCTACTTAGCTGTCGAGCCGGTACAGTAAAAGTATTCGATTTTTATACGCTTAAAAAAAGAAGAAATTGTTTGTTTGTTTTCGGGGAAATTTTATAGTCTTTACCGAATTAAACTAAACTAAAAACAGGCTCGTTCGTCAAGCGAACGAATCGCTGATTAAACAAGAAGACCATTAGGCTTTAATGCAATCCGCATACGTGCCGGCCTCTATCTAGGTTCGCGTACGTACAAAACAATTTTCACGTGCAGTGGCAACGTAATCCAATTACAAGATGAATTTATTCAAAATTAGTTCTATTCGAACGGGTACCCGGTACCTCGCCCGCCCCGAACGGCGCGCGATGGAAACCGGAGAGAGGGACGGGTAAAAAAAAAAACTTTAATACATACAAACAAATTTATGCTTTGGTGCATCCTCCGGGCCGCAAAACTAGTTGGGCAATCGACTGGATTACATGCACGTTGATAAAACCGAATTAACGATAATAAATAGGAATTATTTTGACTGATGCAAAAATTTGCATCCAGCGCGTATATATAACATTTGCATCGTCCGTGGGTCAGATTGTACTTTCGTAACTTCCTACGACTAATGTAGATCGTTTGTAATGAGATGCTCGACACTGGCTGGATGTCCACATAAGTAAAGGCACTTTTGAAGTATCAAATTTGACTGGGAAGATAAGGACTTTGTCCTAGAAGGAACCATAGGAAGAAACACTAGCTAGATGCCTCCACTAGTAAGAGACAAGTTGTCTTAAAGAACTAATAAGAAGAAGAAATTTTTGATTATTTGATGATTTCCCGCGGACTATCTATGCAAAAAAATATATCAAACGATTACTCCATATACAAACTGTATCTATGTGTATCTATTATTACGGATGCAAACCCGCGGCAAATTATCCAACAGAACGATTATAAATTCGGTTGAGCGCTGTGTAAAAAATAATTTACCGATTTCGCTCCGCCAAAGCTTTATTTTTTGTTATGCTACATATAAAAAACCCAACGTACATGCGTGTACAAATTCATCCCCATTCCATAACGAAATTAACCTTTCATCGAATCCCGATGATTCGATTTCGACTATTTCGCTTCACCGTAGAAATTAATTGCGTTTTAATCGAAACAACGATAAACCTTAAACGCGACACGCGTTCGTTTTAAATGCGACGACGCGCCCCCGTAGATGCAATTACCGCAATCCGGACGAATTGAATTGACACCGACATTTTAAACATCCCTAAAATACCATCCGACGCGCCGGGGGAACCCCCCGAACTAGCCGAAGAATTATTGTGACTTGATCTCCGATAAGGTAGAGGCCACAGTCGGAAGGGAATTACACGAACCTATGTACTGAATAACCTGTTAAAAAAGGCCTGATTTTAAGAGGATAAGAGAGTCGCGGGGTTGACAAAGAAGCCTGCGGTAATTGGAGTTTAATAAAAACGAGAAATCGATCGGGTGAATTACCGATTGTGGATGTGCTTTAAAAAAATATCCCGACCGCAAACGGAATAACAAATTTGTAACGCTCGAAAGAATCGAAGCCGCGAGTTTGCCGGATTAAAATTTGCGGCTCCGGTCGGACGTTAATAAATTTATTTTAATCGAATAAAATAATCCGATTAGCATTCGGGATTAAATTTCGAATTTGAGAGAGGAAAATGTTTTTTCTAAGTAGGTATTATATTGCTTAGCTTAAATTCATGTAAATAGTAGTAGATGAACTAATTTTGCTTCGTTAGCAAACATCAAATTCCAGTCAATAGTTAGTTAGTTAGTTAGATATAGTTAGGAAGCTATTCTATTTCCTGGCGAAATTTTCTACAAAGGATCCTTGGAATCCCCGCAGCGAATATTCCTAGTTAACATTTTGTTTTATAATGCAGCAAAAGACGTTAATTAGATAAGTTTTAGATCTTCCAATCTATTGAAAGTAAATGCTAATTGAATTCGACGTAATAACATATCATTTTTCACTACAAATAAATAATTGCTATCACTTTTACATAACATTATTCGTGTATAAAATGTCATTAAATAAAATTATTACAAAAAATGTATATCACCCCAGAATATAAATCGAATATAAATGTATTTATATCAACCGCAAAATAATAGACAGCTTAATAAGTAACACAATTTATTAGTAAAATCAGATGTGGGATTAAAACTAATTAACCTTCAATTCGGCACATAATTAGGAAGCATCCTGTATATATCAATAATTAGTACATACGTAAATATAATTTCGGGTGAATATTGAATGGTATATGAAACTTCATTTGCGAGTTCATTTTTGACGGGATAATTAGATTCGAATGCAAATCGAAAATCCGCCAGATCATTGGGTTGCAATTTTCGTTTCTCATTTAAAAATTTACACGCGTAACCCTTCAATTGTGCATGTTGTGCATACGAAAAATTATACAGAGAGAACAAAAAACCAATTTGTTTATGTGATAATAGTTAATAAAAAAATAATAAACTCAATTTTGTGTGTGTGTGTTTCCGAAATCGCTTCATTATGATACAAACGAGCCATTTTACTCGTATTTTCCCATCAATTTTCATATTTAAATCTTTATCTAAATTTCAGGTATTAATTAAAAAGCAAAATATTCGACATTAAGAAACGCCCTGTACATAATCCTCTCCATTGTTCCTAATGGAAACAATCATAATTGTAATGAAGATGTTTCGTGCGATTTTTTTTTCATAAATAATTTCGAATCGAATTCACACGATGATGGATCTTTTTGAAATTTTTCACCATACAAATGTTAAATAACCAGCTAAGAGTTTTAATTGTTTTCGAATTTTCTGCATATGTTTGTGCAACAAATCTTTATTTCATAATTTCAAACGCGTTTCCTAATGAATGTACAAGGTGAGACAAAAGTTTGGAGACAATTTGTACCATTTAGGAGGAAACAGGAATGTTTCTTCACTATTTTCTTGATCTATAACTTATGCATATAATATAATAAGTAATTTAATAACGTGTTACTTAACTGTAATTCGCCATACCGTGGCAATTTTAACGAAAAATTCATTGGATGGCTAATTCCATGGCTAATTGGATAGACGCTCTCATTTCATCAGTCTATTAATAACTCGCATTTAAGTGCGTTACACAAAAAAATTCTTTTTTTTTTCTTTCCATAAGAATTGAATTATTTTCTTGCGTAACGTCGCGTGACAAAAATCGTATTAGCTCGGGCAGAGAATTTGCGCTCCAAATAGAAATTTTCAAAAAAAAAATAAATCTAATATATTTTTTATTCGTTCGTTATTAATGAGTTCCTGTGTATAAGACTAATCAGTACTAAATTTAAGTGAATCCCCGAATGAGCAAATTTCTCTTATCAAGTTGGCGTTTTGCGTTTAAGGCAATTAAAAATAAATCGAAGTGTGTCGCGAAATCCGACGATAAAAGATATAATTTTTAATTTTAATTTCGACGAACAACATATGGCGTATAAGGGAAAGTGTATAATTTCAAAGTAAATACTGCATGTGTGTGATCGTTTTTCGTTTTTTCGAAATCCGCCTGTTAACCGTCGTCGACTGGATTTCCATTCTTTCTATCTCGTATATGCCGAAAAAATCGAACGGTGTCGTGTCTGGAGAGTGTGGCGGTCGAATGAATTCGATTCAAATTTGTATTCTGTCGAGAATTTAATCGAGTTAATTAAGTTTTTTTTGTTAGAAACCAATCGTGGATGAAAAATTTGTTGTAGGATTGTTTTGTAATAGTGATAAATGAACCGATTTAGTTACGCTCCAAATTTGGATTCGCTGCAAGGAAACGGACCAAATAAGGGGTGAATGAAAAATTAAATTTCTTAGATTTTTATGATGGAAAATCCGCGTTAATTTGAAAGTTTCTCTCTTGTACAATTGACCTCGAAAATGCTATATCAATTTCTTAGTTTCAATGAAAAATTACCAATAATTTCCCAACACCTCAATCATAAAAATTTATTCATTGAGGGATTTACCAACCCTTCAAACCTAGCTCAACCAGCGAGTAATTACCCACAATCACAATGATTATACTCGTTAAATAATTACAGAATATTAGAAAAAAAAAAACAGTCCAAGGTGACCGGCGACCGACCTAGTACCTTCCAAGGTACTTCGAGTACTCACCAATTAACACCAAAAACACGAACAACACCATTTTCGAAACCCGTTAGTACTGCAATATCGCCGTTAAAAACTCGGAAACTCATGCCCCGACTCAAACAAGTACTCGGCGGTATCGCTCGAATCTGTCATGGTACCCGCGACGGCGGCGAGCGTGGTACTGTTGCACTGCCGTTGTCGCAGGCCGAAAGGAAGAAAATGTGTATCGGTACCATTTCCTACCTCTAAAACCTCCACGAAAGAATATCGCAGCGACGTTAAATGGTACTTAATTAGGAAACTGTTTACGATTTATTGTGTACCTGTCGAGATTTACAGATATACGGTACTTACGTGGTTTTTTTTTTGATTTCGTAGAGGCGATTGTTGTAGGTGTATAATTATATAAATTGATCTAGTTTACTGTATTCATTAGTACCTGGGTAAGAGCAATTAAAGTGGGTACTAGTTTTGGAATACTAGTTAAGATAAACTGCTCCACAAAAGTTAAGGAAGTTCGCAAATTTTGCGATTATTTTAAAATTTGCAGACTTTTTGGTCACCAAATTTTCAAATATGCGAAATTTCTGTGTTTTCTCTCATATCTGAGTGGATTTTTTGCCCCTACCTCTACAACTCATACTAAATTTGGCGATCAAAAAACTTAACTTTTAAATTAATCTCAGTATTTGTGAACTTCCTTAACTTTTGTGGAGCAGTATATTAGAGATTTTAATCATGTAGGTAAATTGGGCACGAGGAATAAAGGGTTCTTTTTAAAGGTAAATTTGGCGCAAAATCTCCTAAAAATAACAACAAAAAATCCCTTTAATGATTGATAATTTTTCTTTATATAGCAATGTATTTTGATGCACATATTCTTTCTACTCTACTCTACTCTACTCTATTTTACTCTACTCTACTTTTTGACCGCACGTGACCCCTTTGGAATAATCCACCTGCGATACGGCCTTGTCAATGCATTGTCTTCGGGCTAAATAACATAATTATACCATGTGAATAAATTTATTTCAAATATCAATACTGTTCCTATCTCGTTTGTTGTAGGCGTACATTATTCATAAGAACAATGCTATTAGATATTTGCAGTAAAAATCATGCATACCCCTTCACTATGCAAAGGAGAGTTTCGGAATTCACGATTTACTAATTTGCGAGTAAAATGACACGGGGATAAATCGGGAACGTACGACGGACGTTTAAAATATCCACGAACTTTCCCTCGTATACGCATTGTATATCGAATCTCAGGAAGTGAAATTGCATATGAGAGGTGAATTGTTTGCGATGATTTACTTGTAGTACCTACTTACATCAGGAAACAATCACTTTGAAAAGATATAATACTTGTAGTAGTAGCCTATACGGGAAAATGTATTGCTTTTAATTGTTTTTCGTACAGCACACTATTCATTATAATAGCATTGTTGTATAACATAGAAAACGTGAAAATATTGTGTATCTACAGATCGACAGGTATAGCAAGAGACAGTGTGATATGCGCATATATTTCAGTTTTTACATTCGTGTAGCTTTGATAAAACTATTATTCACAGCGAACGAATCGGACGCTTGATTAATGAAATTATCCCGTGTAAACGAGAAAATCCGTTTTCCAATTCGACCGGCTGTCGTGCCGATGCCACCGCAAACCGAAGGGAGTGTCTACTCGCCGACGGTTCTCCTTTGTTCCCGTTTAAACGGTATAATTACGTACAGATGATTGAGGGAAATGGTATTTTTCTACAGTTCGATTTCCAGCTTGATTACGAGAGTATCGCGTTACGAACAATAAATATTTGCAATGAATTATCTTAAATTAGAAGCGTTGAGTTACCTACTAGATGTAGTTTAGTTTGTTAATTTAATTAATTAGGATTAAGGTTGATTGAATTTAAAGTAATTTTTAGGAACGAAGAATAATAGACTAACTTCAGCAGGAATAATCATGCTGTGTTTTGATAAGTGCAACTTTTAATGACAGCGCATCTTATTATCGCGTTTGCAGCTATTCCTGTCGATCTGTACTCGATAAATAAATTAAGGTAGACTGGGGCAAATGTAAAAATGGGGTAAATGTAATATTTTTACCTATTATGTTAATGTTTTTATTATTTTTATAGTTCTTTTGTACATTAGACAGGGTTTGTTTCTTATATATTTTTTCTCTATTATTTTGTAGCTCTGTTATTTTTTGAAATAAATAAATAAACAGCATATCAAATTTTAGAGGAACGAAATATGTATTTACAATTGGCCCATATGTTTTTCTATATAATTGTATTGCACTTTAGAACCGTTTGTTACATTTACCCCGTACCATGGGGTAAATGCAACATTTTAAAAAATATGTAAAATCGTTTTCTTCCTTTTTCAAGAAAACTTTTTAATACCTCGATTCTTTAGTTTAGGAAGTTGTGAATTTAATGTGGCATCAGCATTTCTAATAAGAGAAAAAATAAAGCCACATTTTAGGATTTAATTTGAACTATTCAAATTTTACAACCGATTTGCCCCAGTCTACCTTACCTAAATTATTATTACAAATTTATTATTGTAGTCATGTCGATATGAATCGAAGGTAAGGTATATTGTCTTGAAGCCAACTCCGTGGTTCGCATTAAAATTTCCGCCTCCCGGGAAATTACGCAGAAACCGCACTACATGCGAAATTCAGATCCGATCGGCGTGTCGCAGGAAGTTTTTGGGGCGCCGGGAGAACGGGAATAATCAAGTTATTTTCGCAGTACACAAACCGGGGATGCACCTATGCATACCTAATAATTCCCAGTTTTATCCCGGACGGGATTTTATCGAGTAGCTCTGGCGTGATTGCATTCTCTATCGCTGGTGAGAATCCGGATTGGAAAAATTGGCTCCTTTCGATTTTACACGATCTCGCGAATTCAGATTGTCGTGCGTTTAATTGTGCAATTTTATTCGTAACGCGAATGCATTTCGATGGCGAAACGAGACCGTTTCAAATTCTACTAAATCCGCCCGGGGATATTTAAGCAGAAAAACAAAACGACGCGATACGCTGGAAGCTGCTATTTTTCTGCTAGAAAATTTATACGAGGTGCCATCGAAAAGATGCGTTCCATAAAATATCAATACTGTTCCTATACAGTGATTTTTCTGTTCGAAAATTCATACGAGGTGCTATCAAAAAGATGCGTTCCATAAATATCAATACTGTTCATATACAGAGATTTTCTGCTCGAAAATTCATGGGATGTTTCTTCTTGAAAATGTACGAGGTGCAATCGAAAAGTTTTATTCTATAAATTCGCGGATTATACTTAAAAATTTATATGAGGTGCGTTCGAAAAGTTCCATTCCATAAATACAGGAATTTTTCTGGTCGAAAATTTCTCTGGTTCGAAAGAACCTAATTAGAATGAGATACCATTTATTTTTCAACGTATTTCTCATTTGAGATACGGGGAGGATTGTTGCAAGTATGCATCTAATTAAACCACGTGCGGAAAAGTTGACCAACTAAATTCGCCTGGGTCAAAAAGTAATTAACTGTTATACACGAAACTTTCCAGCAAACCGGAAACTAATTATAATTTCTTTTATGCGCTAATTTATATATTTTTTTTCAAACTAAAAATTATCTACCACAATTAAAAGTGCTTAGAAGGGGACGATTTGAAATAAAAACTCCATTTACTGGTTTATTTTTGTTATTTACCTCATATTAATCTTTTTGTGCAAGTCTCTTTCCTCTCTATAGATTTTATGACTGACTAGATAATCTCTGAACAATTTGTAAAGTATATAATAATTAAAAAACAGTATAAACGTAAGGGAAATTATTTTATACCACAAAGTGCTCCGAATCAACAGCACCAGCTGACACACCACCATAAGGATAAGCAGAAACAGCTTCAAACCCAAGGTATACGTGGGGTTTTTAAAAACACTCTACAATAAAGAAATATTAGGGAATATTTAGTCATATTTAGTATCATTTTAACATACATAAAACCGTCTTAAACCCACATTCCCCGGCTCGCTGCTGTTACAATCGCCTTGGGCCCTCCAAATGTCTTTACCGTACCTCACTAGGGCTCCGTAGGGCCACAAGGTATCCTCTTTCCAGGTGTTATTCACCAATAACATGGTCCGTCCCGTTTCTAATCTCTCCCACGTTCCCAAATGCAAGGCGGAACGGTGCAAAATATCGCAATATCTCAAAGATAAAACGTGTATCGACAGAGATATGAAACCAGTGATGAATATGAATAGAACGTGTTGAGATGCCCACAGGATATCGTAGTGTACCGAAGCCTAAAAATTATAAAATTAAGAGTGTTTTGGATGAATTTTCTCGTGGAATTTACTTGAGCGAAACAGCAGGGTATGAATCCAGCGTAATAAGCGTTACATATCGACGTGAATAGAATTTCTTTCATTCTGCAATTGAAATTATTGATGAGACATTCCACTTCTTTCCTTACGGCTGGGGCGCTCAGACTGCACGCGTGGAGCGGAGGTACCGAGGACTTCCACTTGATCAATTCGAAGAACGGATGGATGTTGAATCCGAAAAAAAGCAAATAAATAAAGAATCTAAAACCAGAATTAACTCAAAATGAATCTTTTCGAGTAAGTTGTGTACGTACGGGTAACACAAATAAAGCATTTTCTCCAAGTGGTAGTTTTGTATCACGTTGTACATACAGCCCGCTAATATCAAACTAGTGACACCGAAGAGGACTAATCTAAAACACGCATAATCAGTAACTCTTTTAATGCACTTTAAAAACTATTCGAACCTAAAATACGAGTGTACGTAATACTGGCTTCGATCGTCTACAATTTGATTCAAAACCACACAACCCATCATATAAACGAATCGCCTCGATAACGTCACAATAATAAACACAACCAAATACGGGTCGATTAGATAGAAATTCTAAAAAAAAAAAACAACACACAATTAAACACCCTACTCGTACGACCGTACACACTCACCATTGCCAGTCTAGTGTAAGAATTGGGCAACCACCAAACGGACCGATACAAATGCAGGAATTGCAAAGCCGTCGTGGCGATGGCGAAGAAGCACATGTAGCCCTCGAAGAACAGATCGTTGTCCACCGGAGTGTTGGGGAATGGGAAATGTCTCGGGGCCGCGGGGGGTTCTAAGGCGGGTAGCGTGGGGACCGAGGCGCCCAATGGGGCGTACCGTTGTCCGCATGGTTCGTTGGCGAAGCTGGATATAACGGGGGGAGATATCGGGGTCGGGCGAACGTTTCGGTTCAGTCTTCTCGTAGGCCCCGGCATTGTTGATTTTAACGCGTTTAAAGCATTTCTAAAACGCGGGAAGATGCCTTGTTGAGTTGGCTCGGTGTAATGCTGCTTGTAATACAGAAATCGTTTTAATTTCGGTGAATTCTTTATTTATTTTCATTTGAAAATTATTGATTTTTGACAATTACAGAAAATTGACGTTGAAATGACAAGTGACAGTAGTACGTTCGTTTGCATTTGGTCGTAGTGACAACCGGAGTAATCATTTTCTTTGTACGTTCTCTCTCGCACTTATTACATTTGTTGACACTTCGATATGTGTACGACGAAGAACGAATATAATATTCGTTCATGAACTGGACTGTTTCTATTCAGAGTTACAGTTAACTTTTGTGAAGTTAGCACTGTTAGCAGAAAATTTGACGGTTTGACTTTGACATTTACGTATGATAAAAAATTAAATTAATTTCAATAATGAATGATTGTAAAGATGAATTGAAAGAAATCCAACAAACTTCACAAAAAATAGAGAAAATTTCCAGAAAAGTAAGAGCATATTATTAAATTATTCACGAATTTATTTGAACTTTACTGCAGGAAGGACTGCGTGAAGGGATATCAGCAGGAAGGGACGGTAATTTCCAAGCAAGCTTTGATAAAGGATTCCAGGAGGGATTCAAAAACGGTTTTATGTTAGGGAAACACAAAGGAACTCTCTTGTAATTAACACACTATTTATCTCGACCCGAAAAATAAATTTATATATTTTAGAGCTACAAATAAACAATCACCTGTAGAACAACAAATGCATCAACTTTTAGAACATACCAATAGAGGATCTTGTGAATTATGTAAAAATATCGAATCCTTAAAAGACGAAGAAAACATCGAACAGCTCATTGGAATTCAAAATGATTCGTACAAAGCAAATTCGTTAATATTAAATACACATTTCGAACAGATCTGCGCTAATGGTAATTGTTCTAACAAAGATTTTGGTTAATTAATAGAGCTGCGTGTGGAAATCTCACGAGTTTTGTTGCCTTATTCTATCGTACATATCGAATCTATCCTGATACTTATCCACTTTGTTTCTCCACATATCTGCAGGAAAAGTTAATGCAATTATTTGGTATTAAAAAAAAGGTCGATTAAATTACCTATCATTTCGTTAATGGAGGGTTGTTTACCACCGTAATCGGCAGGCATTAGTTCCTGTGGTACATATTTGTATAATTCTTCGATTGATTTGTGAATTTGTATCTAAAATGAAAAAAATTAAAATAAAATGTCCATTACTATTGAGTCATTTGTTATTACCCTATCAGCCATTTTTTTCTTCATAAATTTTTTCGCTATATTTATAAGTATGTTTACATAAGATGGTGTTCGAATTACGTGAATTTGCTTTACTCTGCTCTTGGCTACATTCTAAAAATAAGCTACACATAAGTACATAAAAGTTGCAATATGGTCAAGAAAAATTATTAATATAACAATCACCCTTTCTTTTTCCTTTATAAAATGTCTAATGGAAGTTGTCTTTGTTGCACTCAACCGGTATACCTAGAGAAGGAAGATTAAGATAATTACCTCCATGATGAAGATCATTTTTCGCAACAGAAACGGCGAAAAATACAGCAAATGGCTCCATTGCAGCTCACTGTAATCCATAATGCATATTTCCCCTAAAACTAAGTCCTCGCACACTTTCACTTCGTAGATGTTCATCGCATTTGCGAAGTATCTGGTCGCATTGAAACCCTTAGTTTCCGAGTTTATTCTCAACATGCATATTCTATACAAGTCTGGTGTTAATTTTGGTAACGGTAAATAGCCCCTAAAATAGCAAATTAGTACTATTTGAGAAATTATGGTGGGATTTTCGTGTGAAATTTTTTTGAAACACCCTGTATCGATTACCCCATTTTCCAGGCTTCCTTCATTTCGGGCAATTTCGGATTCGAATCATCGTAAACTTCCGGTATGGTTTGTCTAATGGAATAAAAACATTGTATGTTGATTTTGGTTTGGTCCATTTTGTATTTGCAATTGGTGAGAAAAACTTCTATCATATGATCGGCTGGTAAAATGTGTACATTATTAAAAATTTATTATTTTATAGTAATTTTCTGATTGCTTACTGGGCATTTCGGGAAAATCCTGCGTCTTTATCCATTTTTTGAGATTGCTAATGCATTCCTCAACTTCCGAGTCGGTTTTGCCCCAGTGCTTTCGAATTTTGGCTCTGTCGATTTGCAACAAAGGCTTATTTTCCATTGTTAATACTAAACAAATCGAAATGAATATTGCACTAGATTACAAATAAGAATAATTGCGAGCAAATTCGATTAAAATATATCTCAGACGATTTAAGATAACGGTTTTTATAGTGTTATCAATGTCAATTGAATTATTTAAATTATCCTTAGGAGTGTGTTAAATAAATCTGTAGATATGCTTGATAAAGCTGTTATTAGAATAAACGTGTAAGTAAATCTTTAATATACTATAAATCAATTTTTTATACAAAATTATCACACTTACTCAATTAATCAGCAAGGAAGAGTATTTGCTCACTGAACGCTCGATATAGCAATAATAAAAATCGAATATTTTCGTATTTTTCGCTCTATTAATAACATACTTATTTTATTATTTCTACGGTGAAGTTTTCATATTGTTATCGGGTTACAATGAAATCGAAAATGTGGATGTTTACCGTATGATTTTTACCTTACGAATTAATCGTGACATCGGCAACAGGACCGTCTCGAGAGAATTCGAGGATTTATGATTGATTTCCGAATCCGGGACTCTTATTTATTCTGAAACGAGTCTTTTTCCTGATAAAAAACGACCATGTCAGAGCTTGTTTTATCTCGAATCTTGACCGCATTAAAAAAATTAAAGATAACCTCTCTGAACATGTCAATGACTTTTGCAGCTTTTTATATAATGTGTAGGAATATGTTTATTAAGAAAAAAATACAGTCTAATCGACGTCGAGTTGTTTAAAATTGCCATAATAGCCCAATGCATCAGAATTTTCCAACGGTGTAGGTCTCAATTCCTCGTTGACTTTTAATTTATCCAGCTCGTCGTATCTCCATTTGTATTCGTCGAATTTCAGTTTCCACATATCTGGTAAAATACAAATGAAATCAACCGTACACTTCCAATAATTAATCGAATTTTACTTACCCCATAATTCGTTTAAACTTTTCTCGTTCCCCCCGTAGTCTCGGGGCAGAAGTTCCTTAGGGATCCTTTCGTAAATCTTATCTATCGTTTGGTGAACGAAAATCTACAATTAAATACTTGGAACTAGCACAAAATATGATTAATTGATAATGAAAAAATTGGCTTACCCTATCGGCAATTTTCTTTTTCAAAAACTTCTTCACCAGCTCGATGAATTTCAGTAAGTGCGGGGCAATGTTAACAACGTGCACTTCTTTCATCAAATCTTTACCGACGTTCTGAAATCGATAATCAATCAATCTCTGATCAAATTTACACGAAATACTAGCCTCTTTGATGAAGAGGATTTTCTTGATCAAAACAGGCGTCACGTCCTTGAGGTGATCCAGGCGAACGTCCTTGCAATCAACCACGCAAACGACGCCCAAAATGAGGTCCTCGTGCAGCCGGATTTCGAAAATGTTCGTTATCAATCCGGTCCATTTGCAAAAATCGAACGCGGGGGTACCGTTGAATTTGATTACTACGATTCGATGGAGGTTCTCGGTCAGTTTCGGTAGAGGGATGTAGTAACTGTACAAGAACAGATACGGGATTGGTTACGGACTGTTCTGGATTTTTTATGGACGTTATACATTACCTCATATCCCAAATGAATTTATTTTCTTCTAAATGAGGGTTGTTGTTTTCGTAGAATTCCGGTAAAAGAGTACGTACTGTATAGTACATATCGATGTTTCTCTTGGTTATTTCGATGCTATATTTGCAATTTGTTAGGAAAAATTCCAACATAACATCAGCTAAAATGAAAGCGATTGACACTGTAGAAATCTATTTTGCTCTAGTTTAATACTAACTTGGCGATTCTGGGAGATGTTTTTGATACTTCAACCAATTCCTGATGGTTTCTATATCATTTTTCACGTCTGTTTCCGTCTTCCCTAGGCATTCTCTAATTTTATTTCTGTCTGTAATCAAAACTTCTACGGCCATTTCGCCTGGCGAATAACAAAACGATACAATCACGGCGCGTTCGATTCGATCGATATGGAAAAGTTAATTGGAAAATTTTTTTAATTTATTTTTCCATTCGAATTGTTATTGCGATTTTATTGCTACGCAAATTATACGAATTATTAATGTCAGCAAATTGGTGTTTTTTTTTATTCGAAAACTCGTTAAGTTGAATTTTTTTATTAACGATTAATTGCAAAAATGGGGGGTGTTAATACGAGAGAATTTTCGTGTACCACTCTGTACATATTTAAACTTTTTGGGATTTTCTTAACGAACCGGTTTCAATGATACGTCACACTATTATTAATTTATAATTAGTGTTGTTAATTATACAGCTTGTCCCAAAAATGAGTTAAAAAAATTACCAAAACTTTATTATTAAAAAAAATCGCGTTTATTATTCTTTTAAAATTACAACATCTCGCACTTATTTAATATTTGACTTATTGTCTTCCGACTATCTCCTTACATTGCCTGTAACGTTGCCCGTAGGGCTCCGGCAGGGGAACCCCCTTACAACCGTAACCACCGGTTTTGTGAATTGTCGCAAAATCGTCGCAATCTATTTTATTATCACCATTGCAGTCCTAAAAAAAATCATATTCAATTTATATTATCATTAAAACAGGAAAATCGAATGTTCTGAACAGTCACGCATCATTCAAAACCATCTGGAATCGTTCTAAACTGTTCTAAACCGTTCGAAACTGTACTGAACCATAATTAAATAGTTCTGAACCATCCCGAACCGTTCAAAATTTTAATGAAGCATTTGGAATCATTTCAAACTGTTCTGAATCATCCTGAATCGTTCAAAACTGTGCTGAACCATTTGGAATCGTTCTAAACATTTCTGAACCGTTCAAAACCCTTTATATTTCCATCAGTACATAAACCCTGCATATTTCTAATAATTTTTGAGGGAGAAACGAACCTGTTGGAACCTTTTCATGTAACCTTGTACAGCCAAGGCGGCGCAGTAAGTGTCTCCTGCGCAATTCGAGTAAGCAGTGGGATCTTCGGGCGATTGATTGCCCACTGTAGGCTTGCCCGCGTCCGCCCAATATGCCCAAGTTATCCTGAACGGGCCGCACACGTCGCCTAAAAAAAATAATTCGGCTGAATTTACATCTCGTTCGGTGTGCAGGACATTAAACTTTAAGTCCTGATGTTTATTTTAGAATAGGCTGAAGTGAAATATTTCTTACCTGAGCATATGCTGGTGGTGTTGCATGCTGAAATGGCCTCGCAAATGCAGCCCAAACAAGCTTGTGTAACGGGTAAATCCTGCGAGGCGACACCTGAGTTTACAAAATTGAATTAATAGAGAATGTTGGTTGATAATTTGGAAAAAAGTTATTTAATTCGTTTGGCGGGACATCCTGTTATATTGTTTGAAATAAAAATCACGAACGTTAGTGAATTTCCAAGAAGAATCACCGGCGTATGAAAAGATTGTTTTTTAATGCGAGGTGAAACTATTGTTTGAAATTTAATAAGCAGGAACCGGACGATAATGAATTAAGAATCACGCGAATAGTCCTGGAATTTCCAGTTGTAAAAAAAGCCAATTATTTACCTGAATAATTTTGTTCGATTGAATGTTATTTAGAAATGACAAATAGAAGGTGGGAACTTGTCCAGGATATGTACTACTGAGAAAACTTAAAATAAACTTGAGTAATATAGTAAGTAAGATTCGGATTAATTGAATCGCAACACAATAAGTATACTAATATTCGAGTATTGAATTAATTATTGTCGCCTGTAAAAGGCGCTATTGACCGAAATATCGTTGTTATTTACTCGGAATTCATGAATATTTTAATGCGCGATGATTTCATCCAATGATCTTCTGAAAAATGTTTCAAGGTTTTGCGTCCCAATCTGAGGACAAACTATTTCTTAAGCACCTTCATTGAAAAATTGCGATAATGTTGTTTTACTAATTATAGTATATTCGCAAACAGTATAGAGTAATTAATTGACTTAATAAAACTATAAAAAAGTTGGTACAAATTGGTTTCTTTACTGAATCGTCCATTTAATACTGTACTGAACTATTTGAAATCATTTTAAACATAACTAAATTGGTCTGAACCATTCAAAACTTTTCTAAACTGTTTAAAATTATTCTAAACATAAGTGAATCACTCTCAACCATTTAAAACTGTTCCGAACTCTTAGAAATCATTCTAAACATAATCGTTCTGAACCACTCAAAACCGTTCAAAACTATTGGAAATCATTCTTAATGTAAGTGATAAGTAAATAGTTCTGAACCAGTCAAAACTATTCTGAATGATTCAAAACTGTTCTGAACTATTTGAAAGCATTCTAAACATAACTAAATCGTTCTGAACCATTCAAAACCGTTCTAAACTGTTTGAAATCATTCTAAACATAACTGAATCGTTCTGAACAAATCAAAACTGTTTTGAACTAGTAAAAATGATTCTAAATATAACTGAATCGTTCTGAACCATTCTAAAGCTGTTCTGAACTGTTTGAAAACAATTCAAAAAATATCATCTTGTTAAAATTTATTAGTTTTTGAAAAGTCTTCAAAAATTTAAAAAAAAAATCTTACTTTTGGAATTAAACAAAACAACAAAATAAAATATATCATTTTCGTTTGTGTAAGCATTACTTATATGGTACATAAATTGTAATAATTTACCGTTAATAGTTCCAATAGTCAGGAAAATTCCAAGCACATATCCGAACATAGCCATCATTTTTATTGAAAATAAAATCTATAAATACACACTACAGAAACTAAAGAGTAACTCAACCGGATTAACAACGCATGAATGCTGGAAGAAAACCAGTATGTATAATGTTTAGCGGTCAGTTTTATATAAGCAAAGCAAGAAGAAATTTCTCATTAACTCATAGGCGTGTTTGTTTTCGCGTCTTGCGCTTTCAAACTTGTACCGAATTCAAATTATTTTTTTTTTCGATATTCTTTTTGTATTCCATCACAGCGTCATCTTTGCACTGCTCGTACTTATCTCGAAACGTTTTGGGCAAATCTCCGCCGCAACTAAACGGCCCCAATAAATGAATCCTGAAGTAATCATCGCAATCAATTTTACTATCTCCATTGCAATCCTGCAAAAAATATATCAAATTAATAGAATAGTGTTGCAGATAGAAATAGAAAGGTTTTTACAATTAAAATTTTTGCAAGGTTGGTTCCAGATGGTTAAGCAACCATTTAGACTGGTTATTGTTACTTACAGGGGGTTGTAGAGGAGTTATTAACTTTTTAAAATATTGATCACATATTTATAATACATACATTTTGGAACTTCTTCATGTAGTTTTGAATAGTCCTAATGGCGCAATTCATATTTAAACTGCATGCTCTGAAATTCGTGTCCTCCAGAACGTCGGGTTCTCCTACTGTTGGGCTACCGGCGTCTATCCAGTATCCTTTGGTAATGCGAAAAGGACCGCACGAAGGCCCTAAAATACTCCATTTATTACATTCCTAATCAATTCCTTCCGGTACTAAAACCCCATCATGTAGAGACAATATTGAAGTCAACTGTCATTATGCTTGACATTCACTGTCAATATGACAATAAGACACTTGATATTTTTTTTATTTTTGTTTACCTCCACAAGTGATAGACGTGTCACAATCCGACATCGCCTTGCAAATGCATCTGGTGCAATTAGGCGTCACATAATCCTGCGTGGCATCTTGAAATGAAAATTATATTACTAAATAATTAACTATGGTGTTCAATAATTACTTGGAATAAAACCGACAGACGCCAATAACAACAATAACTTTGCCTTCATTTTGTGGTATTTCGTATTAAACAAAGTGCACATAAATAAAGTTAAGGTTATATATACATCATATAGTGAAATGCTATCGAAAATATCCTGCTGATGTTTGTTTTTTTGGAAGAAATAGTAATAAACATTTCGTAATAATTATTAAAATTTCTTAAACTCTTGGAATTCGGTAGAAATAGGAGTTTTACAACATTTAGTTTTATTGAGAATATTATGTTATATGTAGGTATATAAATAAGTAGGGGACATTCGCTGACTCATTGATTGAAAGATGCTAGCGAGATTAAAACAAGAATTTTTTATTAAGAATAAAATCTATAAAAATTTACAAAAATACCATTAATTCACCTTAAAGCTATTTAAAGTAAAGCAGTACGTATGCATGAATAATGTTGAAGTTTATACAAATACATACATTTATAAAACCTACTGATATTATTTTATTAAATAATATTACCTACCTAATAATAACAATAAACATGTGTAGATAATAATATTATTTCGTAAAATTCTATCTTAATTTCGCAAATTTTATTGGAATTCCCACATTGGATTGCGTTAAGAAACTCCTCGGCTCAAACACGACGGGAACGGGAGTTTTAGAGCACTTGGTCACTTCAAAATTCGTAATAATAGAGACCAGAGCCAATTTAACGCTCAATCTGCCCATCCTTTCACCTGAAAATCGCAAACATAGACAAAATAAAAATAACATCTTTCTTTCTCTATGATCGCAAATAAAAAATACTATAAAAACTATTCTAAAATCACTGGTTAGTTATGCAACCCAATTTACACGTGAAGTATAATAAAAAAAACACATCATAAGTAAGCAAGAACTCAAACTTCTTACGAATCTACAAAAGTACTTACCTAAACAATTCCTAGGTCCTTCCCCGAAGGGCAAGTAATACAACCCACTGCTTTGATCCAGCCTGTTTCTGAACCGTTCCGGATCGAATTTCTCGGGTTCCGGAAAATATTTCTCGTCCATGTGGAAACCTAACGTAGGTATCAGAATCGCCGTGTCTTTTTCTATCACGCAATCCGTACCGGGAATCCTATAATTCTCGATGCATTTCCTTTCCAGAAAAGCCAAAGGTGGATATATCCTCATGCTTTCTAAAAACTTACCTTCATCGCAACCATCACTACTTTAATTTACACAAAACTTACCATTTATGCACATATCTAAGTATGGTGTGTCGTGTAGAGCTTCGTAGGTGAAGCCGCCGTACTTCTCCTTCAGTTCCTCCGCTTCCCTTCTGGCTGTCTCTTGTATGTGAGGATACAAAGCGAAGGCGTACAAAGTGAACGAAATTGCCCCGCTGGTCGTTTCGAATCCGGCCATGAAAATCTGCAACGCGTGACCGCAGAACTGCCTGTCGTCCATCTGGATGTCGTTGTTCTTCCGCAGCTCCTTCACCACGTCGATCAGATCGCTGTAGGCTTTGTTTTTGGTCGTGCGGGCCTCCAACGAAGCCAGGAAAATGTCGGAGAAGTAGTCCATGACGAGGGGATCGAAGAAATTCGGCTTCAGTATCGGCACCCAGTCGGGCTTGAAGAAGCAGAGGGACTGGGCGAAGGCGTTCCTCCAGGAGAAGCCGAACAATGCCCGTCGGTTTACCGTGAATTTCGAGTTTTCGCCGTCGAAGCTGTGCGGATTTATACCTGGAAATGATGTAGAAAGAATAGACTTGAATAGAATCTTTAGAGGATACGACCTGGTTATCTGGATACTCACCGAAAGCAGTTTTGGATATCACGTCTGTGGTGTATCTAGCGACCATATCTCTGGCTTCGAGAACCGTTTGGTTTCGTTCGAGATAGTTGACCATTTCCTGCGAGGATTCCACGAACAAAGGAAACATGGATCTCAATTTGCCGCTGGTCAAGGCCGGTGTTATCCTCTGTCTGTTCACCTTCCAGGTGGAGCCTTTCTGGAAGAACATCATGTACGGGGAGTAGCGCTCGTGCCCGCCCGGAGTCACGTTCCTGTCCATGAAATAGTTGAAATCTTTTATCAGGACCGACTTCAGTAGACTGGAGTTCTTGATTATCAGGTAGGGATCGCCGAATATGTACACGCCGATGTAGTCCCTATCTATCTGGAAATTTTGCGGGTGTTTCATCAGTACAAAGTAGTGAAAAGCTAAGCTTGGAAGCTTCATCAAAGCTCTGAAACTTCTTCTAAACCTTGAAACATTGACTATTCTCTGAAGTTTCACCTACGCTTTGAAACCTTTTTGAAACTATATCTAGACTTTGAATTTTCATCTAGCCTCTGAAGCGTTCTTTAAGCTTTGAAGCTTCATCTAGGCTTTGAAATTTTGTGAATGTAAATGAATGAATGATTCAAAATGGCGTTATATACCTACTTGATCGTAGAACTTTTTCATCCATTCGGCTGATGTGGTTCTCATCAGAGCGACGTCTGCGAAGTGGCTGAAGAAAAGTTTCGCTCCGCCGGGCGAGTAGACACCGCGTTTTTGCCAATATTTGTGTTTGTATGAGAAGTAAAAGTGTAGGGCGCAGAAGGCGAGGAAAAAGGCGAAGCCCGCTAGTGCGAATGTTAACATCATCTGGAAAATAACTGGAAATTATTACTGGGATCTTTGCTGCTAAAGCAGTAACAGATTACTGTGTTATTGCCGGAGTTCATAAACTTTTTAAGTGATTTTTGGGTATCTATCTCGTTCACCTTGAAATATTTTTTGTCATAATTTATTTACATAACAATTTTTCGGCAGTTTAACTCAATTATTTTGTGAAGGTAATAATTGAAGTAATTAAACCAGATATTAATTTTTTTTATTTAGATAATTAATCGTTATTTTAGCTAATTACATTTTTTTAAGAAATTATTTATTATTTATTTATTTATTATTATTTATTATTTATTTAAATATTCAGCAATTTTTTCAACTTATGCCCCTGCAATAAAAACTTTCTCGAGTATTTTAATCGTTTTTTATTATTATTTATTGTGGGTACTGGCCATTTTTTTTCAATTTCAATTGTTTTATTGTAGGTACAACTCATTTTCTTACCATTATTTTTATTTCCAATCACAACTATTACATAGTACAACCGATCAAAACAAATTCATTGACAGATTTACGAGTACAATTATTTATTTTAATTGAATGATTCAAACAAGTTCCTTATCAAGGAATATACAGGATGAATATGGAAGAACTTATCAAATAAATGTGACAATAATTAAAATTGCCAGCCTGTTGATTTAGCAATCTGATTTTGGCTCCAATAACCACCAATAATTGCACAATAAAAGTGCTAAATATATATTATTTCTTTTGAATAAATTATATGTCCCGATTCGCCCTGTATGACAAAAAAATCAAAACAAATTTTAATTGTTGATATCGTTAGATAAGAGTATTTTGGCCAAGGTCATTGTTTTGGTTTTTGCGTTATACCATAACGCATTATACAATTTAAAGTGCGCGTTATTTAACAAGTTTTGAGAACTTTATCGGCAATCCAACGTTGGACTGTAGCACAAAGGTTTTCGGCTCAAAAACAACGGGCACCGGTGTTTTAGAGCATTTGGTCACTTCGAAATTCCTGATTATAGATATTAGAGCCAATTTGGTGCTCATTCTACCCATTCGTTCACCTGAAAATTCAATTCGAATTAGTTTGGTCCAAGTCTTCGCTGTTGTTGCTCTAAATTGATCTGTTTTTGGTCCAGTTTGATCTGTTTTTGATCCAGTTTGATCTATTCTTAGTCTAGTTTTATTCAATAGAAACTTACCCATGCAATTCCTTGGTCCTTCCCCGAACGGAAGGAAACAGATACTGTTGCTCTGGTCCAATCTGTTCCTGAATCTTTCCGGATCGAATTTATGGGGGTCTGGAAAATATTTCTCGTCCATGTGCAGAGCGTACATGGGAATAAAAAGGCACGTGTTTTTCTCAATAACACAATCACTATTCGGTATTTTGTAATCTTGAACGCACACTCTTTGCAGGAACGGAATCACCGGGTACATCCTCAACGTTTCTGTATAAACCGATTAGATAATCAAAGAGATAACTTCGGGATAATTTATCTTACCGTTTACGCACATATCCAAATACGGCAGGTCATGTACGGCTTCGTAAGTTAATCCACCGTATTTCTCAATCGCTTCGTTGCATTCCTTCCTTACCGCTTCTTGTATATGAGGATATAAAGCGAAGGAGTACAGAGCAAACGAAATAGTAGCGCTGGTAGTCTCGTAACCTGCTATAAAAAACTGGAAAGCGTGTCCGTTGAATTGCTTATCGTCCAAAGTACCGCCGTTATTCCTCAACTCCTTAGCGATATCGATCAAATCGCTGTAGAGCGGATTTTTCGTCGTGCGCATCTTCATCGATTCCATAAACACGCTGGAAAAATAATCCAGCGCCTCTATGTCGAAGAAATTGGGCCGGAGTATCGGCACCCAATCGGGCTTGAATAGGTACAACAATTGGGCGAACGCGTTCTTGGGCGTTACCCTGAACAATTTCCTTCTGTTGATCGTGAATGCCGAATCGACCGGCTCGAAACTGAACGCTTTTATCCCTGAAAAAAAAAAATCGATATGCTGCTACTAATTATCGCTCAATAAACCACTCGCTTACCGAAGGAAGTCAACGATATGGCCTCAGTGGCGTACCTAGCGCCTAATTCCTTGGCCTCCAAGACCACCTGGTTCTTCTCCAAATAGTCCACCATGGAGTCCGAGGCTTGCACGAAGAGCGGAAACATGGACTTCAATTTGCCGCTGGTCAGGGCCGGCGTGATGCTGGCCCTGTTGTGCTTCCAAGGGAAACCCTTCTGGAAGAACAGGATGTAAGGATGGTAGGGATCGTGGTCGCCTGGTGCGACGAATCTGTCGGCGAAATAGATGAAATCCTTGACCAGCACCCGCTTGATCAACTGCGAGTCCTTGACGATCAGGAAGGGTTCACCGAAGATGTACAAGCCGAAGAAATCCTTATTTATCTGAAAAGATTCATTAGGTAATTGATTCAATCATTGCGCATGGTATTCACGTGTCTCTAGCTATTTCTGTGGGTTTGTATGTTCGTTCTGTTATGTCTTTAGCTATTTCTAATGAAGTGTATATTGTTTTGTACCTGGTCGTAAAATTTTTTCATCCATTTGGCGGGCGTAGATTTTAGAAAAACGACGTCTGAGAAGTGGCTCAAGAGGAATTTCGGCCCTTCGGGCGAGTAGACGCCGCGCTGTTGCCAGTATTTGTGTTTTTTCTCGAAATACAGGTAAAGGGCGGCGAAGAGAGTGACGAAAAAAATCACTGCGTAGGTGATGAAAGTTGACGTGAAAAACATTTCTAAAAGTTTATATCAATTTATATTAGTAAATAAATGGATTAATATCTTAATAATAATTATATGCACCTGTAAAAGGTGTTTACTATTTAATTGTTTTGTAAATATTTACCTTTGATCTGTTCACTTGGCTGTCGGGTATGTTAATAAATCCTCTGCATCGTTTTCTCAGGGTTTTATCCAAATGGTTCAGTTCGTTAAACTCTAAGTAGGTACTTGTTATTTTTTTCTGCCAGTTAGGTTTTTTTTTATATAAAATTAATTTTCAAGTCGCGTGTACTTTTTGGCAGAAAAATATAAACAAGTTGGCGCTGATGGAATGAACAATTTATAGATAAATTTCATTTGAATATTTACATATTATAAATATTATGATATCATTAGAGTGTGTACCAAGTATCGCACATGCTCAATGCATTTCCTTTAAATTGTACAATTTTAGCTGAGTAAGTACTATTAATTATTTCTTATTTCCCAATTATCTATTTTAGTCCATTCGCATTTTATTTGCAGCCGAATAGACTATTTAGAAACCCATCAAAATCGTACCAAAACGTGTTTTAAACAAAATGCGAATGAACTATACGTGCTTTATTAATTGCATAGATTTTTTTTAGTTTACATTATTTTAAGTTACCTCCTATTTAACCTTGTACAATGTACCTACGACAATTAGAGGTAAATTGCATAACAAAGGAAAGAAAAACAGCGTTTTTATTTTACGAAACAATTTATATTTTAAGTAGTTTTTTCTAAAAACGTTCCTTAACCAAATTTATACGATGCTAATATTTTTCTTATATATTTCACGCCATTTTTTTCTGCAATTTGCTGAATTTCAATGGCAACCCGACTTTCGACTGCATTAAAAAACTTCTAGGCTCAAACTCCAGCGGTATAGGAGTTTTCGGACATTTCGTTATTTCGAAATTCCTCAGTATAGAAGCCAGGACCAATTTGGCATTCATCAAACCCAATCTTCCACCTAAAAAGCCATAATCTTTTGAGGGACACCGTGTATAACAATTCTCTAACATATTGTCTCGATAAGAATCGAGAGGATATCATACGTTATTAGTAAACACCCTGTATATATTGATCAAATAATCACCTATGCATTTTCTGGGTCCATCGCCGAATGGCAGGTAATAAGATCCATCGCCTTGGTCTAATTTATCCCGGAATCTTTCGGGATTATACACGTGGGGTTCCGGGAATAGTTTCTCGTCCATCTGGAGACCATAAATCGGAATAAATACGGTCGTATCTTTCTCTATGATGCAATCACTGCCGGGTATTTTGTAATCCTCTACACATAGCCTGTGCAGAAACGGCACCACCGGATACATCCTCAAGGTTTCTAAAACATATCACCAATAGCAAAATCTCCAAGGAATCGCGAATTTTTCTACCGTTTATGCACATATTTAAATAGTGCAAATCCTGTAGGGCTTCGTAGGTGAAGGTTCCCCCGTATTTTTCGGCCACCTCCTCGGCTTCCTTTCGCCCTTTGTCCTGCAGGCTCGGATCGAGAGCGAACCTGTACAGGGTGAACGCCACCGTGGAGCTGGTGGATTCGAAACCGGCTACGAAAAATTGCACAGCGTGACCGGAGAACACCAGGTTGTCGATTTTCTCGGCGTTCTTCGCCTTCAGCTCTCTCATGGTGTCGATCAGATCGCTGTAATCGGGGTTCTTGGCGTTCCGCGACCGGAATATGTCGATGAACACGCCGGAGAAGAACTCGACGACCGCTGGGTCGAAGAAATGGACCCGGAAGAGGGTCGTCCAGTTGGGTTTGAACAGGTACAAACCCTGGGAAATGGCGTTCCTTAACGAGAATCCGAACACTCGTCTTCTGTTTACCGTGAATTCCGAATCCCAGTCTTCGAAGCTGTGGGCATTGACGCCTGAAGAAAATAGCAGGATGTGGGAATTTCTGGAATTTCGTTCTCGTATATGCGCTCTTACCGAATGCCGATCTCGATATAGTCTCGCACGTGTACCTGGAGGTGACCTCTTTGGTTTCCAGAATCCCCTGTTTCTTTTCCAGATAGTCCATGAAAGCGTTGGCAGTGTCCAGGAATAGGGGGAACATGGATTTCAATTTTCCGCTGCTCAATACCGGCGTGATTCTCGACCGGTTCTCTTTCCACACGTTGCCCTTTTGGAAGAACATGGCGTGATTTAGGAGAAGCTCGTGCTCTCCCACGGGAATGTTCCTGTCGACGAAATTGTTGAAGTCTTTTATCAGAACGTGCTTCACCAGCTCGGGGTTCTTGAGTATCAAATAGTGATCGTCGAAAATGTACAAACCGAAGAAATCCTTGTTTACCTGAAAAATTTATTTCAGTTACAGGGTGTCTCATAAAATTTGTGCAATTAATTGCACTTGCACTGCACTTGCGGTGGGGACAAATTTTTAATCTTGTGCATTTAAAACGGTGTAATATCGTGGAAAATAAAAGCAAAATTAAAGTTTATTAAGCAATACAAAAATCTATAAAGTAGTAGGTCTAATTTACTATGTCCTAATGTGCATACAGTAGGTATCCCAATTTTTATTAATACAGAATTTAATTTAATACAGAAAAAATAAGCAATTAATTTACTGTATAACCATTAATTTATTTACCATTTTAATGATATAAATGATATCATATATGTATATAAAATTAATATAAAACTGCTAATTTCTAAACTGACTGTCGCCATAGTTGATAAACAACGCTATATAATAACTAGACATTGCTTATTGACCTTTCAATTAAATTGCCTTTTTCCAAAAAAATTAATGTATGTCGAAAAACAAACATTGAAAGCAGACAAGCAAAAAACAGCATTTTATTAGTACATTGTTATTATCATTAACATATGCAATTTTTTATTTTGCTCCTGAAACGTCCTTTTCTCTCAGGAATATATTTTTACTGTCCCTATGTTTCTCCCTACACCGCTCCCTACCCTTAAATAAGCTTCCCTTCGTCAACATTTTTGTAAATCAACATATACCTACAGGGTGTCCCAGCATTTCTATTAACTGTACAATATTTCCTCAGTGGTCCCTTGACCATATTAAGAATTTTCCATTTCTCTTACCTTGTCATAATATTTTTTTAGCCATTCGAATGACGTTGTTTTCAGTGTAAGGACGTCGAAAAAATGGCCGATGAACGGTTTGGTATCGTCGGGCGAGTAGACACCGCGTTTTTTCCAATATTTGTGCCTCGAAGAAACGTAAAAATGTAGCGCGAAAATTGCGCTTGATAATAATATGAGAGCATCCAGGAGAATGGATGATGTTATCAACATGTCTGAAATATAATTATTGATAAATTGGATTGATTTGTCTGTTTGTAGGCGATGTTCGGGAAATTGATTGTTAATTTACTATCGAAACTTACCGGATATGTTTGTGATGCACAAACTCTATTGAAATATGAGCTTTTTAACGCATTTAATGAACGTTTAATTGTCGTGTTAAGTTGTTGCTATGAAGCAATTAAAGTTGGTTTTCGAATTTATACAAAAATTGATTAAAAAAACAGGTTTTATTTTAAATATCGCCAGTTCTTGACCCTTACATAGTCCATTTTTGTGTTGAAATATATTAAATATGCATATAATATGTATATTTAACGTATGTATATCAATATACATATAAATGTATATAATATGACCTCGTATACCGTATATCCAATTCCGAACGCTACAATCAGTAGAAAGAGAGAATCAGTCGAACTGTGGAGAGAATCTTGAATAATTATGACTGATTAATTAATTACTTTATTCGGCTTTACTTGGCTTTTAGTAATTCCAAAATGCGTATTTTTGTCTCGCAATGAATACATATAAATTTGATTACAGTACTTATTTTATTTTACACGTTATTAAGAAACACCCTATACAAGTTTTATTAGTAAAATTTTACGATATGTACAATTTACGACAAATTGTGTATGTAGACATGTACGTAAATAAATCATCACTAGCATAAACTCATTCCAAATAAACCAATTCATTATAGTAAGAAAATATTTTTGTTTATTCGAAAGAATGTTATTTTTTCACAAACCAAACGAAATAGACTTTAACAAGGACAATAAACCTACGCACACGACTAGACCACAAACCGGATTCTCTAAGGATACGGAGGCAAATACCCCCTTGCATCCCCACCGAACGCTCCACCAGCACCTGGTGCTCCCGAATACCTCGACTCCCCGTCTCCTTCGGGATACCTAGAGCTCCCGTCGCCTCCGGGATACCCGGAACCCCCTCCGAAGGATCCCTCCGCTGCACCAGGTCCGGCGCCCGCGAAGACATCGGCGTTCAACCGGTAGAGCCCCGGCGCCGAATCGCAATCGAAGAGGTTCCACCACACGCACACCAGGTACTCCTGGTGGAAGACGGTGCCGTTGGGACAGAGGAAGTCGTAGGTGCGGTTGCCGGCGCACACGTGGAACGCCTGACACCTGGCCTCCACGTCGGCGTAGTACCCGGGGTAGGGTTGGCTGGCGCAGCTGAAGGAGGTGGCCGGGACTTGGGAGTATATCGGGTAGTCTAGGTCCGGTTGGCCGGGTATGGCGGAGAAATCGCCATCTTCGTCTTCCGCGCCGGGTCCTGGTGGTTGGGAATCGGGTGTTCGCTGGCTTGGGTAGTTTTCGGTTCCTGATTCTCCTGTGTAGCCGGGGTATTTGCTGCGAGAATCTGGTTCTGACGGGTAATTTGGGTTGGTGGCTTCGAAGTTGTCTCGAGCACCGGGTGTGCCTGGTAAATAATTCGATTAGATTTAATTTTCTTGTGTTTATGCTTACCTTTTGTTGGTTGTTTTTTGTTGAATGATTGTTCTCCTGGGTATCCTGTACCTGGAAATTTGAATATTTGATCGATTATGGCCTACAGCAATTCATATAAAGTGAAAGTACCTACCTGGTGAAAATTGAGGTCCTGTTGGTCTACCACGTTCGGTGTAACCATTTTGTCCGTCGTCTCTTCCAGGATAACCCGTTTGTCCTTGATCACCCAGAAACTTCCCATTCTGTTGCGATTTTCTTCCACCTTGATCCCCTAATTGACCCTCTCTTCCAGGATAACCAGTTTGTTTTTGATCTCCGAATTGTTCGTTACCCTGTCTTTGACTTCCAGGATAACCTTGATTGCCAAATTGTCTATTTCCACCTTGATAACCTCCTGGTAGTTCTCGATCTTCAGGTTGCCCAGGTTGTTGTGGTCTTCGTCCAGGATAACCTACTTGCGATTCGTCCTGTAATTGTCTGTCAGTTGAAGGATAACTCGTTTGTTTTTGATCTCCGAATTGTCCAGGTCTTTGACTTCCAGGATATCCTTGATTTCCAGGTTGTCCTGCTTTTTGTTTATTTCCTCCAGGATAACCACTTTGTCCTTGCTCTGCTATTTGTCCAGGTCGTTGCGGTCTTCGATCAGGATAACCTGCTGCTCCTTGACCTTGTATTGGCCCAGCTTCTTGTCTATTTCTTCCAGGATAACCACTTTGTCCTGGTTCTTCTAATTGCCCAGGTTGTTGCGGTCTTCGATCGGGATAACCTACTTGTCCTTCACCTTGTATTTGTCCTGTTCCTTGTCCGTCCCTTCCAGGATAGCCTTTGTTTCCTAATTGTCCAGCTTCTTGTATATTTCTTCCAGGATAACCACTTTGTGTTTGCTGTCCTAATTGTCCCGGTTGTTGCGGTCTTCGATCAGGATAACCTACTTGTCCTTGATCTTGTGTTTGTCCTAATCCTTGTCCATCCCTTCCAGGATAGCCTTGGTTTCCTGATTGTCCAGCTTCTTGTCTATTTCCTCCAGGATAACCGCCTGGTAAATCTCGATCTCCAGGTTGTCCTGGTTGTTGCGGTCTTCGTCCTGGATAACCCGCTTGTCCTGTTCGTCCAGGATAACCTGCTTGATTTCCAAACTGCCTATCAGTTGCAGGATAACCTCTATTTCCTAACTGTCCACCTTCTTGTCTACTTCCTCCTGGGTAACCACTTTGTCCCTGCTCTCCTAATTGCCCAGGTTGTTGCGATCTTTGTTCTGGATAACCACCTTGTTGTTGGCCATCTGATAGTCCAGGATAGCTCGTTCTTTGATCACCTGTTTTTCCAGTTTCCTGTCTACCTCTTCCAGGATACCCCGCTTGTTTTTGACTGTCCGATCCTGATTCTGGTTTAGCTTTTCCTGGATAGCCAGTTGGTTCTCTTCCGGGATAATTTTCTTGCGTTTTGCGTCCTGAATAATCGATTGATCCTTGATCGTCTTGAGGATAATTCGTTTTTCCTTCGGGAAATTGTCGAGTAGGTGAAGGATAATTGTATCCTTGTTGGGCCTATAATAATTTAAAATAATATTATATTGTTGAAAAATAGTAATTTCTTGTTATTTACTCACCAATAAGCGTCCAATTAAAAGGAATAATGCTGAAATACATATGCCAAAATTAAAACGAAAGTTTCGAATTTATTAGATTTCATCATCAGTACGAAAAAATTACTTACTCAAACCGGAGTACTTCCAACGCATTATATGATTATTTTAGTACAAGTCAACGCGAAAGAAAACCGCGAAATTTTCGAAAAAATTCCAAAAAAATTGAGCAAATCAAGAGGCAATTCGAACGCGATCGATTTACTCGAAAAACTGGATTAATTCGTTATCTAGTCGCGCTTTTTATACGCAATCGAAGCGCACGAAGACCTAGAGGAGCATCTTCGACGGGTCTCATGGACGTACCAATTCGGAATTAAACGGAATTATTTAATGCCCAACAATTTGGGTACTATTAAATGATAATTACAGGTACTCATGTTGAAATTTTTCTACCAAAATATGTAATGTTGCTTTTTAATTATTAATAGTAAATTGTGTAAATAATAATTGCAAAAATTTGATTTATTTCGATAATAGAATAAGTTTATTGTGTGACATTCAGTATAGATTATTCCGGGTAATTTTTGCGTTAACTTTAAATAAACATTATCGGTACTTCCCTGGCGAGTACGAATTCGAAGACGCTCGAGTACTCGCGTTTTTGAGGATTATTTCAGAGATTTACATGCGGATTGTAATCGACTTGAGCCCGTTCGCCATTTTTACGCGCTCGCTTGAGAAAATGTTCCGAGATAAAACGTGATGCAGAGTATACGGTTATACACATACAGTTCTTTTTTTTTTAACTTCATCATCCTTACGTAATTTGTCGCCGATTTCTACGCTAGATCGGCATCAGATCTGAAATTTTCCTATTAGCAATTCCCATTGTTCGGTAAAATTCGTTACAAAATAAATTTATCCGAATATGTTATGTAAATACATTGAATTTTCATCCAATGCATAAATATGTGTACTATAATAGGAGCATCGTTAGATTTATAAAAATATCGATGGGACTATAACTAAACAAAATATCCAAATATTGTGATATGATCGAATCAATTATCAATAATGTATCAATTACACAGGTTTAACGCAACAGATCGTGCAGTTTCAAAATTTTTCGAAGTCTAATAGTTTTTAATTATCGGGTTTTAATAAAGGGGTTTCTGCAACATGGCGCATTTTTCTCGGATTTAATGCTCGCTAATAGACGTGAACTTTAAATTTCGCAAAATCGCGAATATATCGAAGGCGCTAATCATTAATTAATCACTAATTAGACACGAATGTGCGCCGATATTTTCCACCAATCGATTCGGGATAATACCTGCAAAAATTTAGCTATTATACCGATTTATTTTAATGCGAACTATTAGTAGGTGTATTTACAAAGATCCATTAACATTTTTTTTGTTTCTTTAATGTAACATTAGAAGAAACCTTTTTCATTAAAACACCAACCTTGGTGCGTAAGGATTTACCTCTGAGAAGGTAAAAAATTGCACCTAACAAACATTATAAACTCGTTAGAAATATTTTAAACCATTTAATTCTCCTTCCAAACATCACCCTGTACATTTTCTACACCTCATTAATAAACAACTCTAACGTCAAAAACATATATGAATTCGCTCAAAAAATCAATGTAGTGAAAAACGTTCGCAGCGACATTATTTCGACCAGGAAAAAAATTCCCCGTTTCCATCAGTGTATAGGTCCCGCGCAACCGGCACCGCGTCCTCCATAGAAATCCCCAGTAGACCCGCCATGAAGCGCACCGAGAGCCAGATCATCAACGTGAGGGAGATCCAGAACCACGACTACATCTTCGAGCTGCAATCCAAGTTCTCGACGGTGCAATTCAAGCGCCTCCAGAAGGCGGAGGCCGCGAAGAAAACGAACAAATCCGACGGCGACGGCGTCTTCCTCGAGGGCGAGATCAAGAAGAATTTGTACGCGCTGAACGCGCCGGCGCATTCGCACTATTTGCGCACCAAATGCGCCTACTTTTCCCAGCACGAATCCAAACACGACATATACAAGTACGACGAAGCCAAGGAGTTTAACGCCAAGGAGAAGTTCGTCGTGCATTATATAGGACATTCTACCGTGTTAATCCAAGGACCTGGTTTTAACGTACTCACTGATCCTATTTATTACGATTTAGATGCTTTGTATTATCCGGAAAAAACCAAATCCTACCCGTTCATCCAATTCCTGCCTAAAATCGATGTTATACTAATATCGCATAATAGACGCGACCACGTCGACAGGAGGTCCTTGCAGGAGTTGCTCGAACACTACAGGACCAAAGTATGGCCTCAACCTAAAGTCCTAGTACCGATGGGCGATAAGAAACTCCTCCAAACGTTCGGATTCATCTACATCACCGAGCTAGATTGGTTCTCTAGAATAACGATCAGAGTGAACAGAACCATCGTTAATTTCGTCTGTATACCAGCTCTACAGAAATTCAGCAGGTACCAAATCAATTCCTACAAGAGCTTGATAACCGGATGGATCATCAGTCCGGAAAGAGAAGACGTCATCTTCAAATACACCGGCGATACGAGAGCTCTAAGCTCATCGACGCAACTAGCCGTCGACGCTGTCATTTTCAACGAGATAGTGAAGAAGAAATGCAACATCGGCACGCCGGAGGGCAGCACGAACATACCGAAGATCGTCTGTTTGGAGCCCAGCGGACCGAATTACACGCGCAGCACCGTCGAATCCAATCACCAATCCAGCTCCTACAGCGCCCTGCTGAAATTCATCCAAGCCAGGAACCTCAGCCGCATCAGCGGCATACCCATCGAAATCTTCCTGCCGAAGATCAAGACGGTGATGGTGCACCACAACAAGTTCCAAGTGGGACCGGACCGGTTCAACGAGGGCGTGTTCCTGGTGAAGAAGCTGCTGAACTACCTGCGGCTGGACGACGAGGAGCTGAGCAAGGAGCACGAGCGCCAGAAGCAGAAGCTCGAACGGAACCTCGACAGGGTGAAGCTGAAGGAGCTGTTGCCGATGAGTTTGCGCTCCGTCTGCGCCAATCTGCCCACGCAGACGTCGATATTGGTGAGGGCGAAGAACTTCGTCATCGACGATCTGCGAACGGTGGAGGCGCTGTTCGATATGGACAAGGGGAAGTTGAGGGAGATTATGGTGTGTTATTTGATGAAGAATACGGTGTTTCCGATGATCGGGGAGCGGTTTACTTGCGATGAATTGATGGCGGCTGGTTTCAAAGGGTGCGGGAAGTACGCCGGTAATCGCCAACAGAAATCGGACGTATCCTCTTAATTGTTATCTTGATGTTATTGCGTGATGGTTAAATAAAATGAATGTGGCGTTTAAATTTTATTAAAAAACACCTCTTTTTTTTATTTTGAACCACAAGAGTTTTGACGCCTCCAAACAAACATTTCGACGTGCCCTCGTAATAACATTGTACGCGAGCATTACATTATACCTAATACATGGGAAAGTACGGGGCAATCTTGAGCAATTAGTCATTGTATGTAAAGTTTGTAAAGTAACGTTTTCGTTATCTTTCCAGATTCTTGACGTTTCCTTGTCGATAGTTCTTCAGATAACATTTATACGTTTATTGTTTGTTTTTATGATATAAATTGTTGGTATTGCGAACAATGATGATGATATGCATTTAAACTGTTGCAATAACGTTCTACGTGTGCGTATTTCATATTTTATATTTTTTAACCCATAAATATCATTAAAATTGTTCTTTTCTTTGTATCTAACCGTCTATTTGTACATTAATTTAAAATGTTCTTGAACTTAACCTCAAAATGCTAAAAGTTTTTTTTTACAGTAGAAACGTTATCTTTAGTAGATAATATTTATCAATAATGATTCTTCTTTTTTTTTTGCTCGTCTATTGGCATCTGAATTTAAGATTGCAGCGCCATCGTGGCAAAAAACGGAACCTTCGTAACAGGCATTCATTCGTTTGTTGTTATTTGTTTTAACGTGCGAATTGTGAATTTGAAAGTGATTTTTTAGTGTTATAACTTAATTTCTTCCGAACAATTTTTATATTAAAAGACAATTTATTTCAGTTTAAGTAGTTTTTAAGTTGTTAAATTTACTGTCAATTCAAAATCTGGTAAGCAATCTGATTTGTATGTAAGATTGTATTATGTTTGGTTATATATTTTTTGTCGTTTCTTTCAATTAAATTATGAAATATGGTGTATTCAAATTACTCAATGACTTAAAAATTATACTTTTATTTATTCTATTTATTAATAATCTATTTTTTTTAATTTATAATCTTTCATTTTTAGAAAAATGGCTCGATTAAGTATAATCGACTACATGGCGTAAATTGAAGGGACAGTTTCTTCAAGATGTGTGGTAGAGGGCGAAGAAGTTTTAAATGCAGGACACATAATTTTATGTGGAAAATTTAATTTGGTGACTTCTGATCTTATTAAAATCTGTGCTTTGTGTCTACAAACTAGCGCACTTAATGCGAACCTCATCAAATATCCGGAGAAAAAATGCTTCACATCGTTTGTTCCATTTAGTATTACTTAATGGTAAAGTATTAATTCTATATAATATTACAACTAATTTTGATAAAATATTTTATTCAGATCGAGAGCTGTTACATTTTTTTTCTACCAGAAATTATTCTTCGGGTATCGACAAGGGATTTTCATAAAACGCTTCACATCGCTTGTTCTGTTTAGTATTACTCCAATAATGGTAAAGTATTAATTCTATATAATATTACAACTAATTTTGATAAATTATTTTTTTAGATCGAGAGCTGTTACATTTTTTTTATCAGAAATTATTCTTCAAGTATCGCCATGTGGTTTTAGGGTTTTTTTGAGTTATTTTACATGAATCTAGTATCTGCTAATATGGGATTTGATAAATTAGTAATACTGCAAGCAATTATAAAAATATCTTGAATTTTGGACACCAAGGACCATTGCATTTTCCCACTTAAAATTTTAAATATTTTAATGCGTTGATTTGTCCTTTCAATGTGCACTCGGGCAGCTGCAATTTTTGAATTTAAAATGGCTTCTTCGGAAGATAATTGTTTTTTATTCCTTAAAAAAGGTGGTCTAATTAATTTAATTTTAAAGGATTCACAAATGTCATCAATTAAAAAACCTTTATCCACCATAATGGCGTCTTTGTTGCCTTCTAATTTCAGGATTATATCGCTTTGCTTAAAAATGGCCTTATCAGATGCCCTTCCACCGTACGCTTCGCTTACGTACGTTATTATTCCCCCAGGAGATACACCGGTCATAAACTTAATTGTTGTACTCGACTTATAATGTGAATAAAATTTTATTCTACAGCAAAGGCATTTTGGCGTTTGGACATTTATTTCTGTACAATCCAGAATCACCCTTACATCCTCAAATTGATTAAAACATAGGGGCATGTTTCTTTTAATTTCCGAAGAATCGGGGAACCTTATACAGGGCTTTAAGACTGCACTTAATATAGGCAACATTTCAAAAATATATTTTTTACATAATTCGGAGGAAATAGCAAACAATACTGACAACGTTACATAAGAAAGATCACTCTTTAATTTTGTCATGACTAATACTATTCGTTCTTGAAAAAAACAGATTTATAAAAGCGACGAAACCGACAATAAAGACAAACACGAGAGAAAACAAAACAAAAACAGAACGAACGTAATGGATGCAAAACCAAAACAATGGTGCAATACCTGTTAGAAGCGTTCTATTTTCTGCCACCAGAGGGCGTATCGCTTATATTGAATCGCCAATTTTTAAAAAGTCGTTTGACTAAATTTAAGGTTGGCGAACCTGAGAAATGACAGACGTCATATTTCATTTGCAGAGTTGGCATTAGTTGGTGATTATTTTCTTTCCGGTCAAACTTTTACAGCCGTCAACATGGGTGAGTGTCGTTCTGTAAGTTTTATACAATTTTAGTGAAAATAAACCGCAAAATTGGGCGAATTCCCCTTCGAAGTAACTCAGAAAAGTTCCACCGTAAATGCGACTGCAGTTTTTAATACACAACACATCCAGTTATCCGATATATGTGTTTATTCGATACCATCGAATGTGCCGTACGCTGATTGTAATCCGTAATCATCGCGCCCAAATAACCCCTGAATCCTGAATAAATCAACGAAACGACATCACCGATGCTTATTCCGAAGATTAACGTGGATATTTTTCGTTTTTAACAGGTAAACCCCGAGGATTGCGCACCGCTAGGAAACACGTGAACCACAGAAGGGAACAAAAATGGGCGGACAAGGACTACAAAAGGGCCCATTTGGGTACCAGGTGGAAGGCCAATCCCTTTGGAGGAGCTTCTCACGCCAAGGGAATCGTCTTAGAAAAAGTGTAAGTACATATAAATATTATTTATAACAATTAGAACTACTAGTGTGTGTATGTTTATTATCTATTGCTTAACTTATGAAGAAAGATCTGAGTATCTAAATTACCGTCTTCAAGTCAACTGATAGCATTACGAATGCATCACAACTCTTATAGGGTGATAGTATTCGAAACATTGCTTAGATTAAATGCGCTCTGAACCATTGGGTAGACGGTTTCCATCGACTATACACTCTGATATGTGCGTTACATTTACCAAAAAAAACATTTATGCCAAAGTATCCATTACGCAGAATTTCCTCGTGACTGGTCGATTCGTTTCAACATTCCAATCACAGGATAATTCTGTGCGATGTGTCCTTTATACACAACTTTATATGCATCAAGTGAGCCGGATTTGTAAGATTTTTTGTGTCCAAATGTATGTCTATTTATGACGCTTTTACTGATGTTTTTTCTATTTCTTTTGTAGAGGTGTAGAAGCCAAACAGCCGAATTCCGCCATTCGCAAATGCGTGAGGGTGCAATTGATTAAGAATGGTAAAAAAATCACCGCGTTCGTACCCAGAGACGGTTGCTTGAATCACATTGAAGAGAACGATGAGGTTTTGGTCGCTGGTTTCGGTCGTAAAGGTCACGCCGTAGGAGATATTCCCGGAGTTAGATTCAAGGTAAATGCCGTTTATTTCACCAATTAAAGTTGCCCTGTATACGTTTGTGTGATGATCAAATTAACAGAGCCAATCCTATGACATTTATTATGATTCAAATAGTTAATTTTCTTTGACTGATTCATTATAAAACGTAGCAATTGATTTGTATTGAAGCGAGTAGATTTTTACGTTGTTTTATTGTTATAGGTTGTAAAAGTAGCAAACGTTTCTCTTCTGGCCTTGTACAAGGAGAAAAAGGAGCGACCGAGATCTTAGAGTAAGACGCAAAGATGTTAATTTAATTTTTTTTTTGTAAATTTTTCTTTGACTACAAATAAATAAAGTGGACGAGAATGTTTGGTTTTTCATAAATTGTGTTTTGATTCCTTAAGGTGTCGCAGTGTGTCGATATTTTAACTCGTACGTTTTTGAGAGTTCAACGAAAGCGAAGGAGGTAGATTTACGTTTTTATCGACTTCTATTAATAATCCCTATTGGAGGAGCAGATAATTCAAAAATGGATTTTCAAGTGGAAATGCTCGTTGAAGTTCTCGACAGGAAAATCGAAAAACAGTCGACAAACGATGAATCTACCATTACTAGTATCTCTACCGGTGGTCCTGTGTTTGTGGGTATATTTTCTATTGTTTGTGCGAAATTCCCTGTTAAATGTCAACGATATAACATCGCAGGTAACCGATGTGAAAAGTAGCGAAAGTGCTGAGAAAAACGTCTCGACAAGTTTCATGCGAAAACGCAAGAAAATCCACGTGCCCAAATTCATGTTGGAATTGTACGAAAAAAACAAAGTAGCCAGTGGAAGAGACGAAAATATCGATAACAAACGACCCGATATCGTCAAAAGTTTGATACCCACACATGCAGGTATTGTTCTTTCATTTTAATCCCACGAGCTGATCTAAAGTAAATGTAGTATTTCATAAAAACTTTATTATTTAAGAACCTTTTTACGGGAACGAAGCGTATGAGGTTGATCGATCGATCGAAAGAAACCATTTGCTGGTTTTTAGTATACCGGCTTCCGATGTTGACGAGCGATTCGTCAGCGCCGAACTCAAAATACTGACGATACTGGATTTCGACGCGAAAACCGGCGATAATTTCGGTGAGATTTTCCCAATACCTGCCTCAACTAACTTCATACTATTATCTCTTTCCTTTGAAGATGCCCGAAGAATACTCAAAATGTCGCTTTACGACGATTCGGCCGAAGAATTGCTCGACTTTCGCGAAATTCGCGTTCGCCACTTCAACAATTCCTGGATAACGTTCGACGTCACGAGTCCCGTTAATAATATACTACAAAAGAAAAACCAGCATCTGCTTAAGCTCCGTTTAAAGGTCTCCGCTTTCCATCCCAAGTTAACCGACAGTTTGAAATTGTCGCTGATGCCCGTCGAAGACGAAGATTACGAGCACGATTATCCCATTCTGATTCTCACTTACACTTCTAACGAAGTTAGGAGGATGAAGCAGGATGATATGGGTAGCGTAGAGAAGAGTAAGAACGGTATAAAGAGAAAGCGAAGGAGCATCGAAGAGGATTACGAAGAAGAAACTAACAGAATCTGGGATGATGATGGAAATTACGCGAGGAAATCCGTACAGTACAAAAAGTGGAGACGGCTGAAGAATAGTTGTAGAAAAAGGCCTTTGTATGTAGATTTTGCCGAAATCAAATACGACCTGTGGATCGTACAGCCTACTGGATATGAGGTGTGTAATAATACCAATAATACCTCAACAGGGTTTTAGAAAATCTTGGTTTTCTTTTCTTAGGCTTACCAATGCGTAGGAAGATGTTTCTACCCGGTGGCCGAGCACTTGAATCCTACTAAACACGCCATCGTTCAAGCTTTGCTGCACAGCGTAGCCCCTTCGAAAGCTGGTAGAACTTGCTGCGTACCCACAGCGTTAGAGTCCATATCGATACTTTACATCGACGTTAACGGAGTATTAACGTACCGTTATTCGTATAAAGATATGGTTGTCGCAGAATGCGGTTGCAGGTAACTCGAGGTATTTTTAATGTGTGTTTGGTTTAAAACATAAAACTCGATTTTTCTCGTCTACAACATTGTTTTCGTCAAAAAAATAGTACATTAATTTAATTTCTCATTGATATGTGATGATACAAATTGTCAATCAATCGCTCTCCATCAGCAGCTCCTCGAATACTCTCACCAAGCTCTCGATACCCGCCAGGTAATTCTCGTCGACGTCCGAATTTTCCGCAGGAAAAACGTGCGCGAAATCGATCATCTTGACGACGGCCCAATGGGACGATTTCCTTTCGTCGCACAACTCGTCCAAAAGGTGCAGGTAATTCTGCTTCCTGTTCTGCACGTCTTTGTCGTAGTTGTTCTGAAAGGAATGGGTCCTCTTCAAGGACGTCATGGATTTCGACCAGGTGTTGTCGCTGAGGATGCTCGGTACGATCGGATGGACGTCGATCGGTTGCTTGGCGCCCGTCGAAGACCTCTGGGGATTCAAAATCGGACCTTCTTTCGTCAGTTGACCGCTGAAACCTGCGGAGTTTACACATGGTTACATCCCATTTACTCCTTTTGTTGCGAAATTATACCTGTTGGAATTCTATCGTTGCCTTCGTTGTTTTTGTTCAACACGGCCAGGCTCATCGGTCTGTACAAACTGCCTTTCCTGGTGAACTTGTAGTCGGATTTCGATTGTGGTGATGGAGTCGACGTGGTAGAGGAAGGTGACGAGGAAGGAGTCGGTTTGGTTTTCTCCCGGAGTCTTCTGGCGTCGTAGGCTAAAAGGATAGAAGTGGAGTAGAAGCGGTATTGTCGTTGGTTCCTTGCCCAGTACAAAATGCGCCATAGGATGGCCAGAAATTGCACTATTAGACATCTGCACGGCTTGGCTGTGGCGTCGTTGCATTCGTTGGCGTTTAAGAAGGTTTTTATGGCTGAAAGATGATGATAGTTGGTTTTTAATGGCTTTTTCACTTAATTAAGAACTTACCATCTTCCGCTCCTTCTTTATTTAAACTCTTGCCGAACTCTTTCCCTTGTTTCACTAACTGATTGTTTGATAATTTGTATACTTGGAAACCGGGAATGCAGAATCCTAGATCTCTCTTGCAGTCTTGGTATTTTCTCTACAAAAATTAGTAACCTTCAAAAATCCCGATGCAACCGTTGAAAGAACGAAATTATTTATTTACCTCCTCCGACCGAATCTTTTCCAACGTAGCATCAGGATCCCAAGTCCTTCTACCGATTTTTATGTCCATGATACAAGGCTCCTTGAAATCCTCGACCAAATCCTCCAAAGCGATGAAATCCCTCGTCTCGCCCTCGACGCTCAGCCGCCTCGTGCCGTAAAATTTCGCCACGAAATTCTTCATCTCCGTCATGGTTTTGTCCGTCGTCCTCCCCAGCTGTTCGTAAAAATTGATCTCCCTGTCGCCGCATTCGCGTTTTATGATCGGTTTCAGGACGAGCCCGTCGCGTTTCAACATACCTAAAAATTTGATTTTTTTTATATAAAGAGAAAATAAAATTTAATCGAATTATTTACGCGTACCTATATTATTGCCAGACAAATGCCCGGCCATTTGATGGTTGAACTTTTCGTATCCCTCTGGTATCTCTGAAGGTTTTTCCGCCTCGTCGTTGTCCTCTTCGTTCTTTTCTTCCGGGCCTGCTGGATTTTTTGGAAATCCATTAGCGAGGTATTGTTGTAGAGAAGAGGACTTGCAAGTGGCTGGTTGTACGTGACACATGGATGAATTTGGCTCCGGACGGTGATGTATCGGTATGAATTGCACCTCGGATTTTCCCATATTCTCTTCTCTCGAGCCTGCTTGGATCAGTGGAAAATTTGGATTCTTCGCCGGCTGGAAAATTAGCTGTGGTTAGAAAAAAAAGCTAATGCATAACTATGCATAATTTAAGGAAAAACCGGTAACAAGAACCACAAATGTGTTATGTTTAATCAGTTTCGACGCGATAAAAGACGAGATGAACGTGGACTGAGTCATGGAAAAAATCACTTTGTAGTTTTTAACCCAGTTAAAAATAAAATACATCACTCGCTCGAATATCAATACATATTTCAGACGTTAATTTAATTACAGTTATGCCAAAATACCCGTTTTATTACTAAGTGAACCGTTGGGTAATAAACTATTATTGATGTTTATGTAAAAAGTTGCAATTCGTAATTGGACATTCGTAAATTCTAACGCAATTTTTGGGAAGTGAACGTAATAAAATTATTGTTTGTTCTTACCCAAAACCTATATATAATTATAATTGGGTTTTTAGTTTAGTTTTTTGGAAGGACGCCAAATAGAAAAAACAAACAGTTTTTAGTAAAATGCATTCAATTACCATACGTTTAAATATACACTATTTGCTGAATATTTACACAGTTTACAACTTGTAAAAAAATAATCGATAGGCATATGAAAGGAAGGTCGATAGGCATAGGAAGATGAATTATAATAGCGGAAATTCTGTTAAAAAATACATCAAAACACAGATGAGAAATAATCAAAATTTTTAACTCAAATATAATCGAATTTCAAATAAATAAAAATACCTTACCACCCACGATTTCATCTACACCAAGTAATAATATTTTAACACTAAAATGAAGAAATTAGCGAAGAAACGTACGACTTTTTAGCGCGACAGTTCGATACAAAATGAATTTACTCTATTTTTTTTCGGGCGCACGAAACAATACTGTAATTTGTTTTCCTGTCCCACAAAGTTTGCAATCATCATTATAAAAGCCTCATGGATCAATATTTGATTAACGGATAAATAACTAATGTAATGTAACGTGAAATGTAATGCAAATAAATTAACTAAATGGACTCGATGCGGACTTAATTTAATTAGAGAAATGCGCGAATTTCGTCCTTTTACTGTTAATTGTCAATAATTGCAAACAATTCCCAGTTAATGCTGTGGGAAATACAAGAATTTTTATTTAATTTCCGGTGAAATAATTAATTTTTTCTCATATAATTTAGTGCGCTGTTAGATATTTAAAAAAATATTGCGATATCTGGCTTTAAGCTCCAAAATATTATCGAGCATTATTTTTATTGCTTTACGCAATAAAATTCAACAAAAAATTACAGTATTTCACAATTTCTCCCTCGTAAAAATTGTCATAATCTCGACTGGATTTACTGATATTGCTCTAATTGCAGATAATAAAAAAATTATGCGTTTTTAAACGCTTCTCAATCGAAAATCGTACGTGACAAAATAAGGAAATTTCGAAAACAATCGCGGAATGAAGGAATAAGGAAGGTCAAATAAATATTTTGGAAAACAATTCCAACACTTTGTTCCAACATTTCCTACTCTTGGTGGAATTTCCTAATCTATCAAAAAAATTCCAACTGTAGTAGGTCCTAAACGCCTCAATTGTTAACAGGAACTAAACCTAGGTTTACCCGCGTAAAGTGCGAAATACCCAAGAAATATGGGTTGGATGGGAAGGTTTTTTTTGGGTTTCTTGGGTTCCCGTTATGCCACGAGAAACCTACCCTACCCGCATTTCGCACTTAGGTAAACCTAGGTTTAGTTGTTTATCTAACTTTCCACATAACAATACAAAAATTCTCACACAAACCGTTAGGAACTTAAAAAAAAACCTAACAAAGGAATCATATAAAACGCGTGAAGAATTAACTGTAACAGCAAATTGCAAGTACTTTGTATTTGAACTCTAAACCGGATTTACCAGATTGCAATATAAAAACCAATAGATTTCATTACCAAGAATATTCTCGCGTACGACAGATAAAAATAGCAATAGCGAAAATAACCTTTCAAACATGTGTAGGATAAGTAACAAAAAAACATATGTAACCATAACCCTATAAAAAGGTGAAATATTTCACATATCGCAACGAAAAAATCGCCGAAAATTCTACAATAAAGCACTCGACTTACCAGTTCAGTTATCAACCAACAAATCGTACTCGCCTATTGAACTTCGAAACAAAAACGGGCTATTTTGAAACCACCTTGATATTGCTCGCTGTGCAAACTGTACATTTTCCGAAATATGAAACTTGAAAAAAAAAATCGCGTCGTGGGCGAACAAAATCCGTCCCCGACTGGTTTTCGCTGGTGCGCTTTCCCAAAAATATTAAATACACCGATTCACTGACAAGTGCAGTCTTCGACAAACTGCAAACTGGTTAATTGGTGCAATGAAATGATAAATGATGGTGAAATTGTGAGAGGGAATTGGAATTATTTGGAATTCATGGCCATGTTATTTATTTTTAGGAATGTTTTTTTACAACCGATGATAAACGAGCTTGTTGAATCGTCTTTTACCGATTGACAGTAACTCACGTCAATTTTCTTCTTATCGATTAAGTGGCCTAAGTTGATCGAGTTTAACAGACTCATCAGGTGGCTGGATGACAAAACAGTAGGGAATTGTAAAAAAGCAGAACTTTGACGTTTATCTTACGTCAACTGTCAATGTTCTCTTGTCAATTACTAATCTATTTTTGATGTTTTTGATAGATTACAATTCCTATTTCTAATCGAATAAATAAGTTAAATATTACGATTTTTTTAAAAACAATTTTAGCGTATTAAGAACATGGCGAAAAAGACGTACGATTTATTGTTCAAATTGTTGCTAATCGGCGATTCGGGCGTCGGAAAAACCTGCATTTTATTTCGATTTTCAGACGATGCTTTTACTACCACTTTTATATCCACAATAGGTACGTACAATGTACAACATGATCATTTATTTTTAGTACGTTTATGTAACGTCAAACGTACACAAAAATTAACACCAAAGCTAACACACGAAACGCATACAAGCTATTGCTTCTTTTACAGGTATAGATTTTAAAATAAAAACCATAGAATTAAGAGGTAAAAAAATCAAACTGCAAATATGGGATACGGCGGGTCAGGAGAGATTCCACACCATCACCACCTCGTACTACAGGGGCGCTATGGGGATAATGTTAGTGTACGATATTACGGATATGAAAAGCTTCGAGAACATCGTCAAATGGCTGAGAAACATCGATGAAGTAAGTTCACCCAAAAATAACCAAAATTTAATAATAAGTACATTCGTACTTCCCCCAGCACGCAAACGAAGACGTGGAAAAGATGATATTAGGCAACAAATGTGATAAGGCGGATAAAAGAACAGTTAGCAAAGAACAGGGAGAAACTGTAAGTTCACAAATTGCATATCTTCATAAAAAACAGGATGTTACACGTAGATTATCTATGTTCGAAACAGATTGCCCGAGAGCACAGTATCAGGTTCATGGAAACATCGGCGAAGGCCAACGTGAACATCGAGAGGGCTTTCAACGAACTAGCCGAGGCCATTTTGTTGAAGACGGCGGGAAAAGAGCCGGGGGATCCCGTCGATAGAGTGACAGTCGACAGACGGCCCACAAACACTTCGAAATCTTGTTGTAATTAATTTCTATCATCGCGCCTTATCATTTTTTTTCCTTCTCGCCTACTTATTTTTCTTAGTTCCCTGGTGAAATTATCTATATGTATGTAAAAAAACTGACTGACTGTGACGCGACTTCTACACAATTAATGTAATTCACCGAGTAATTTATATAGTGTATTAAATGTATCACGAGAACTAAGTTTTTGATACGAGTATCGGAATACTATACTTATAAATTACTGTTGTTTGTAATATTTATATTTCTAATTTACCCGGTGGTGTGTTAGTGACTGACTTGACTTCGATTCGACAAAGACTTGTGAATTTAACGTTGTGTTGTATGTAAATAAGATGGAAAAAGAGCTTTTTTTATAGTAATATGTATAAGAGCCTTATGTTAACATTACTGAATTACGCGGGGTGTTAATTAATTGAACGCCAATAATTCAGGATGTGAATATTTGGATGATTTGAAGAAGAAAAGTTGTATCAATATATGTCCTAAATAACTTAGTTTTCGAGCTACAGGGTGTTACAATTAAAAAAAAAACTTTTCTATCATAATTTTCTTATTACTTAAGATATTTGTATGAAATTTTGTACACACCTTTTAATTATTAAGGAGCATTTTTTGAGGCGAAATATTTTTTAAAATTTTTACCAGTGACGTCCTTACGGGGTTTGAATAAATATGTTTGAAGAAAAAAATGGTGCGCTAGTGCTTTTTCTAAAAACTAAAATTATTTTTAAAATCCTCATTTATTTCGTAGCAAGATCGGTCTAAAGACTTACTTTCGTATGACGCACCATTTTCGTCTAAAAAAATAAAAACCAAAACAATTTTTCCTCAAGTTCATTAAGACTGCTTTTGATATTTTGTTGAAATTTGTTAGGCGTTCACCATGCATGGAAATACTTTTTTTGGGGATAAAAATTAATTTACCACTATTACCAGTGACGTCCACATCCGAAATTTCTTAAAAAATATTTGAAGTAATAAGAAAATTATGATAGAAAAGTTATTTTTTTTTCTAAAATTGTAACACCCTGTAACTCGAAAACTAAGAGATTTAGGACATACATTGATATAAACTTTTCTTCTTAAAATCATCCAAATATTCACATTCTGAAGCCTCGGCACTAAATTAATTAACACCCTGTATAGAGCCGGTTTAATTTTGATCGAGCAGCGTGTGTTGTTAATGTGTAAATGTAATTGCAATTGCGAGATTTGAGATATTTACGCAAGCAATAACGAGATATGCGCATCATTTCGATTGTTGTAAGCTTTGGTTGTTTATTTTTTTTTTGTTTCGATTGCGATGCGGCCCAAAAAATCATTTTTTCGGTTAGGATTTCTCGATTTTTTTTGTGTACGCGGTGAAAATTATTGGCAAATAAAGTTTTTATTGTATAATGAAACTGTTTACTTTGCTTACCTACTCCTCTTCGATTAAGATACTTTATCTTCGACAGTAAGTCGACTAATAACTGGGCTTTATCTCGACTTCAACTCGCTTTTAATTCGTCGAATCTATAAGGGATTATATGAAGGTTTAAATCATAATTTACGCAAGCTTATACGAGGATTACGAAATTGTTTTTGCGTTGCAGTTTTTAAAATAATATATTTATCTACAATAACTTTTTACCGATGAAACACACGAGTGTAATTAATGCGGCGTGAACGTGGACGATTTGCCGTACTTTTCCTCCCACATTTTCACGAACTCCTTCTTCCTCAGCTCCCTTCGCGCAAAGTACTCCGGATACTGGGCCTTCTCCAAGGGATGCCAGTAGTCGAGAACCCAATCGGGAGGGATGACTTCACGTTCGAAGGCGACCCCACCGGGCGATTGAGGAACTAAAAATCAGCAAAACAATTATAATTTATAGATTATTTACAATTAATGTCGATATGGTTCGAGAGTTTTTCATAGTTTACTCGATAAATATTAATTGTTGTGTATTTGTGTTGTAATTCTTACATTTCCTTGGATGCGTATGTTGATTATTGAACAATTCTGCTTCGCCTTTCTCCAGCAAATCTTTGGCTATTCTCAAATCTTTGATGTCGCTATTTTGGTCGAATCTCTGCCTCATCAGAACGGCATTATATCTGAACGCTATTCTGTAGAATAAAATAAAAATATAGAAAAATTACATAACGTAAACATAACCTACTGCGATTGGCTCAAGATACCTAAAATTCGATTAATCTAGTTACCTGTCGGCATACCAATTTTCCAGTTCACGTAGAGTCCTTTTATACAAACTTTGAACCTTCCTCGTGTGGGTTACAATCCCTGTAAGGGAACCAGACATTTTAAATTTTAGGGTGAATCGGGGTCGAATCCAATAATAATCCAAAAATTCTAAATACAAAATAAATTACGTCAAATGTCATACACCAATCGCATTCTTCTTTTTTGTTGAATAATTAATATCGAAACGTCACTGTCAATCACTACCAGCCGTTCCGTAGTTCCATGCGAAAACGTCAAAACTGACAAGTAAATGACACTTGTTCGACTTTGACATTGTTTTTGTTACATTTTTTTTATTATTTTTTAAACAAAATCAGTGATTAGAAAATAGTGCGCCCTATTATAACAATGAATCACAATTTAATCTGCCATTGAAAGCTACGGCAATGTCAGTATCAAGGAAAGATTTTAACGTAAGCCAAACGGTACAGTGCCTGTTGATTCGCTCGCTGTAATTTAATTATTTTATAGAAATTCGAACCACCGCCGCCCCCGAATTTGAGCATAGAAAACGTGGGCATTTGGACGGGATGGCACTGCAAAGGGGACAAAGAAGTGGCCAGAGAAGCCGCGACAAAAGGTACATCGGTCGATCTAGTCGTATTGTTTTTATCCCAAAGAAGATGTATCCAACTCGAAGAAGCCAGGGAATATTTTAGAGATGAAGTAAGCTACTAAACCCTATTGTATCTCGTATTTAACGTAATGTTTTGCTAGGTGTTTTTGTGGGCGAAAGAACTACTAGATAGAAAACAGATATTCAGAGTTTCGCACATTTTATCCAACATCGGAGTGGACCCGCAAGAGGAATTGTCCAAAGTTTTCTATACGACTACTAACGTGGAAGTTCGCGAGTACATCGGCAACCACCTGAAAGCCCAGCAGAAACTGGACGCGGGCTACGGGCACTTGTGGCACTTTTTGAACGTTATTTTGAAGAACAACTTGTTGATAACGAATTGGAAATTACCCGAAGACAGCATCGAATGTTTGAATAATCAAGACAGCGATTGGAAATGCCAAATCGCGGCGAAATTGTTCCTTAGAACACACGGTAATTTTGATATTTAAACCAAACATTTTGTTATAATGTAGATGTTTTTGTAGATATTTTGCTTCTACCGTTCCTCACTCCGGAATCGCTTTGGAAGCAATTGTTGGGCTACTACGACACCAAACTCCTGAAAATATGGATAAGCATTTACTACAACAAGTCTTTGTGCCACTTTGATCTCTCTGAAAACCTGTTGAAAGTGTTTAAATCGTTTCCGATATCCATCGAGATGGTTAATCAGTTGAATGCCTCGGAAACTTCGATGAACACCTGCAATGTTATACTGAACGATTTGAGCAAATTTGGAGTGTTCTGCGATAGAGATTCGCGGGATTTTTCGAATATTTTGAGCCGTTTGTACCAAAGCAGCAACATTCAAAATACGTTTCAAATCATCAGAAGCGCCAGTTCGAATATATCGGAACAACATTTCGTGAATTTACTGGTGGATTATTGCACGAAAAACGAGCTGTTTTGCGTGATGAGCGCCTGCTTGGAGAATTTCCAATTGACCGAAGAGGGCATCGAGATAAATGAAAATTTGAATCTCATATTGGATTTTAGAAAGTTGACTAACGAATTTACCGAACAAAATTTATCCAGGAACATCGTGCATGTGTCCGAGTTTTTATCTAATAATTTGGAAGAATATTTCAACAGGAACACGTTGATTTTGTTATCGTTGATATTTTTCAACGAAGCCAATATAGAAGACGTTCTAGAGCAAAAATCGTTCAAACTGGAGAACGTAATACTGAGCGATTGCTTGCAAAATTTACCAAAAAAATTGAAATCTCTTGATGCCTTTATGAATCGCAAACGGATCATCGAACACAACAAAATCACATCGTACGATCTGCTAGAAAAACACTACAAAATCCACGTGAGAAAATTGTATGCGTTTCGATTCGATAACCACCCGTTACCGGACTTTAACAACAAATATCTAGTGGAGAATTTCGGCTATTTAAAGAAAGTTAATCACCTGTTCTACGTGAAACAATTTAGACCGAGCATAGCCTGCAGATTATTCCTATTGAACGTGTACGAAAACCACAACGGATTCCCCCCGGGTTGCATCGATGATTTACAAAAGAAAATTTACAAGATAGTTCTAAGAGATTTCACCAACGGCGAAATAGTGTCCAGTTGCGTGGCTTTTCTAGAATCGATAGGAATCCGTACGGATTATCTAAAAGTAGCCGTAAAATCCGCGAAAATCCTACTAGAATCCGGTACGGACTTCGAACAAGTAGTCCGAATGTTCCTGAACGATCCCAAACGAATCGCCGAAGCCGTAGAAGAGATAATCATCAATAAAATCGAATTCGATCGCTTCGCATCCGACGGTTCCTACTTCATCGATTCGATCAAACTCTACGACGTAGCGTTCAACTTCAGGGCGCTCTTCGATCTAGCGCCGCCCGAGCGCTTCCTGCGCGCCTGCGCCGTCCGCAACATGTGGCTGCCGTTCCTCGTCTTCGCCCAGCTCAAAAACTACTCCATCGACGAAGCCAAAGCGGCGCTGCAATCGTTCAAGAACCCCAATCTGCTCGAGCACGTCCACCACTCAGTCGCCCACGACGTGAACGTCGACGAGAACGGGCTGATGCGCGAGAGGGACTCGCGCAACTACTTCCTGTCGCGCATCGGCGTGAGGAAGAGCGCCGAGAGCCTCAATCAGAGCGATTCGGTGCACAGTGTGGCCACGCAATCGAGCCGCGGCTCGTCGACGGGCTCCGGCGGTTCGGAGTTGATCGAAATCGACGTTTCGAACACGAAGGCGACGCTGTTGCAGGCTATGATCAGATGCCACAACAGCACCGATCCGCCCAGGGCTCTGTTGCAGGCCTGCCAGCTGTACAAGAACCCTTTGTTGGCCGTGTTCGCTACGAGCTACGAGGTAAGAGGCCGCGCGAATTTTAAGCTAAAGGACATTCGCGCTCGCTAGGCAATGACGGAATTTTTTAGACGACGTCATTAATTTCCACGCAGTTCAACATTTCCCTAGTGTCAATGTTAATTTTCCCATTTGACTAGGGGAATTTGAAGTGGTTGAAAGTCGAAGGCGATGTTGTCATGCATTTAGTCTCAACATTCGCAATATTTAGTAAACAAACAAATTTTAAACTTAAGCACGGCCTTATACGGGGTGTCTAGAAAATAGATGTCAATAATTCGGGAGCGTATAAATGACATCAAAATAAGGGTACAACTTCATATAAATTTTGTTAATTTGAGCTCCCATTTTTGAGCTAGAGGCCTTTAAAGTTGAAAATTTAAAACTTATTTTTACGTTTTATTTCAAAGTTATACATGGGAACAATATAAAATTTTTGTGGTTTATTACCTACACCCGTGTGCCCAATTTGGTGATAAAATGAATCCTGCACTATTATCTGGAAGACAGTGGAGGCGTGTTCCCAGTGGTTAACAATTCGTAACTTTTATGGGGACAATCTGTATAACACAAACGTGTCGTAAATACATTCTTTAATCGATAAACTAACAAAAATGTACTCTTGTTTGAAGTCGATAAAATTAACGGTTTAAGAGAAATTTCAATTTTTAAATCAGGATGTTAAGAAAATTGCCAAACGAAAGTTTATAATAAATGTTCGATATGGGAACCCTTTAGTTGAAAACACTTATGAAACCCTTATGAAACATAAGGAGAATATTTCTTTGTACTCTAAAAGGCATTTCTTGATTTCACAATGAAAAATTATTCTGTCCATTAAATTCATCTCTTGATTTAGTGGAATTTCGTCTAAAAGAGGTGGTAAATCAATCTGAAAAAATTCCAAGATCGTCTCTATTGTTGTCTTCCAATATTTTTAGTAAATAGTTACAAATAATAGGAGTTTGTCCAAAATTTTTGTTTATCCGAAAATCTCTCGTTATCCATCATCTCAATCTAAAAATTAAAATTTCTCTAAAACCGTTAATTTTATCGACTTCAAACAAGAGTACATTTTTGTTAGTTTATCGATTAAAGAATGTATTTACGATATGTGTGTTATACAGATTGTCCCTATCAAAGTTACGAATTGTTAACCACTGGGAACACGCCGCCACTGTCTTCCAGAAAATAGTGTAGGGTTTATTTTATCACCAAATTGGGCACACGGGTGTAGGTAATGAGCCACAAAAATTTTATATTGTTCCCATGTATAACTTTGAAATAAAACGTAAAAATAAGTTTTAAATTTTCAACTTTAAAGGCCTCTATCTCAAAAATGGGGGCTCAAATTAATAAAATTTATATGAAGTCGCACCCTTATTTTGATGTCATTTATACGCTCCCGAATTATTGACATCTATTTTCTGGACACCCTTTATTTCTATGTAAATGTACCTTAACATTATCGTTTATTATCGATAAATGGATTTAATAATGTCGTTTGCAGCCCGATTCGATTATTACAAACTGGTTAACTTGGCTCGCCGTGGCTTGCGGATTGTACGAGACATTCACGAACTTCGAATCTGTAGCGTTGAATTCGATAGCGGTGGCGCAATTGTTGATCGATTGCATGATTAACCGTTTCCCGAAGACCATCCAACAAAGCTTCGAGATTTTCATACCGGTAATTCACCGATTAATCTACCGAATAACTTGCTACAATCAATTCATTTCCAGTCGAATTCTCTGCGCTATTTCGTCGAGTTCCTGAACCTGTGCATCGATCGCACCCCCGATGTCCCACTTCTGATCGCGAAATTGCAATCGTTCAAATCGGCTCTATCGCAGTGCAGGCGGTACAGCGTGTTCGCGCAAAACGACCACGAAATGACCTATTTGAGGAACAAAGCTTGGGTGGAAACCACGGCTATGAATTTGCTGGCGTGCGCTATACATTACAACAGCGATTCGGCGTACGAACAAATCCGGTTGGTCGAGCGCATGCGCCGCGCCGGTCTCGGCGAGTACGTGGACTGCGCGGAACTGGAGAATTTGCTGGAGATACTGCGCATCGTGTACGAATCGAACAGCGAGATCAGGTTCGATGTGGCCGGATTCCTGGGGGAAAAAGGCGGCAGGAAGGCGGTGGTGAATTGCGTGAATCGATTGGTCGAGTGTTGTCTGTTCGAGCAAGCTTCGGAAATCGCCGTTTTAGGAGATGTTGCTTTAGATGAGGTGTTGATGGGAAAGTGGAATTACAAGTACCTGAATAGAGATGATAATTGTACGGGGTTTTGGTTCGAGTGCAACGAGGAGTTTAGGAAGCATAACGTTTCCGTCGAGAATGTTGTTGGTTTCTACTTGAAATACGTCGAATTAGTTCAAACTAGGTATGGAATAGTTTCAATAATTTTGTAGTTCCATTTGTTTCCAAATAATTACAATTGTTTCCTATAGTTTCATATACAATAGTTCTAATTGTTTCTTTCTTTTCTTTCAATAATTTTCTTTCAAATTCTTTCAATAATTCCAATAGTTTCTTAAAGATCTAATAGTTCGAATAATTCTAATAGTATCATTAGTTCCGTAGTTCAAATAATGCCAATAATTCAAAAAGTTCCAGTAGTTTTCTAGTTAAAATACTTAGTTCCAATAATTTCATAGTTCCATTTAGTTCCAAATAATTCCAATAATTCAAAAAGTTTCAATGGTTCCATAGTTACAATAGTTCTAATAGTTTTATAGTTCCAATAATTCCAATACTTTTTTGTAATTCCAATAGTTCAAATAATTCAAAAAGTTCCAGTACGTTCATTATTAAAATTGTTTTACAGTTTAAATAATTCCAATAGTTTCTTGTAGAACTAATAGTTCGAATAATTCTAATAGTTCCATAGTTCAAATAATTCCAATAGTTTCTTGTAGATCTAATAGTTCAAATAATTCAAAAAGTTTCAGTACATACATTATAAAAATTGTTCCATAGTTAAAATAGTTTTAATAATTTAAAAAAATCTAGTAGTTACATGGTTAAAATAGTTTTGTAGTTCAATAATTGCAATAGTTTCTTGTAGATCTAATAGTTAGAATAATTCTAATAGTTCCATTAGTTCCATAGTTCAAATAATACCAATAGTTTCTTAGTAATTGCAATGGTTCCAATAGCTCTATAGTTTCATACACTAGTAGTTCCAAAATGTTGTTTTGTAATAATCACAGTTCATTACTTTCAGCATTGAGAAGTACGAATTGGTGAAAATGGCCCAACAATGGTCGAAGAAACACAATTTACCGACGAAGCACGAACTGGAAAAGCAAAAATGGCTCTTGTACGCTTCGTTAGAAGAAAAATCCCGCAACATCGACCTTCTAATAACCGAGGAAGAGCCCAAAATTCCAAAATCTCCGATTCTCTTCAAGGACCTCGTCGATCTGTTAAACAACGTGCCCAAATTCGACGAGGATCTATCCGTCCACACTCTAAACACCTTTAAACTCACGATAAACGAAGCTCTAAACGCCGGCAACCTCTGGCTGGCTCTAAAATTAGAGAGGATGTTCGGTTGTACCGATTCCAATTTGGAGATTTTGAAGCTGTGCCACGGCTTGGCCGAAGGATTGCTTTTACCATATCAATTGACCGCCGAGCAAAGGCTTTTGATCACCAACGGGACGCACTTCAGACGGCTCAGCCACAGAAGGCCCTTTCTATCGACCAAATTATCAGGCACGAGTTCTTCAAGTAAATAAATTTCACTTTTTTACCTCGCTTAGCTAGAGAAGTCGGGTTGTAACTCTACAGTAATTCTAATAATCGCTTCCATAACCTATTAATAGCCCTTTTGAAGCTTATTTACTATCGATTTCATCACTTTTTTACCTCACTTAGCTAGAGAAATCGGATTGAAATTCCACGGTAATTCTAATAAACGCATCATAACCTATTATTAGTTTGTTTTAAGCTAATGCACTATCGATTTCAACACTTTTTTATCTCACTTTGCTAGAGAATTCGACTTCGACAGTAATACTAATAATCGCTTTCATAACCTATTAATAGCCCTTTTGAAGCTTATTTACTATCGATTTCATAACTTTTTTATCTCACTTTGCTAGAGAAATCGACTTGTAACTCCACGGTAATTCTAATAATCGCTTTCATAACCTATTAATAGCCCTTTTGAAGCTTATTTACTATCGATTTCATCACTTTTTTATCTCACTTTGCTAGAGAAATCGACTTGTAACTCCACAGTAATACTAATAATCGCTTTCATAACCTATTAATAGCCCTTTTGAAGCTTATTTACTATCGATTTCATCACATTTTACCTCACTTAGCTAGAGAAATCAGGTGGTAACTCCACAGTAATTCTAACGAATGCTTCCATAACCAATTAATAGCTTGTTTTAAGCTTATTCACCATCGATTTCATCACTTTTTTACCTCACTTAGCTAGAGAAATCGGATTGCAACTCCACGGTAATTCTAATAATCGCTTTCATAACCTATTAATAGCCCTTTTGAAGCTTATTTACTATCGATTTCATCACTTTTTTATCTCACTTTGCTAGAGAAATCGACTTGTAACTCCACAGTAATACTAATAATCGCTTTCATAACCTATTAATAGCCCTTTTGAAGCTTATTTACTATCGATTTCATCACTTTTTTATCTCACTTTGCTAGAGAAATCGACTTGTAACTCCACAGTAATACTAATAATCGCTTTCATAACCTATTAATAGCCCTTTTGAAGCTTATTTACTATCGATTTCATCACATTTTACCTCACTTAGCTAGAGAAATCAGGTGGTAACTCCACAGTAATTCTAACGAATGCATCCATAACCAATTAATAGCTTGTTTTAAGCTTATTCACCATCGATTTCATCACTTTTTACCTCACTAAGCTAGAGAAATCGACTTGTAACTCCACAGTAATTCTAACGAACGCTTCCATAACCCCATAACCAATTAATAGCCCGTCTTAGGCTAATTCTCTATCGATTCCAGCGTCCTATTCGCCGATGGGCAGTTCGTTCTTGCAACAAACCGATAACTCTGAGACTCCCATGCACGATACATTGGCCGTCATCGGAAATCTGGCCGAAAGGGTGACCAGCGGCGTGCGGATGGCTCAAGCGATCTACATGACCTACAGGATGAGCGTAAACATCGAGATTCCCTATCATCTGATCGTCTCCAACGCGGACTCAGTGAAAATGCTGAAGGACGCCTTGGAGGACGATTGCCTCAACAAGTTGGAGGTCGTGCACGATTTCATGCAGGTTTATAAGTGGCAAAAGGATCAGGTAAGTGGTTCCATAAGGTCGTTTATAGTTCCTTAAAGCTTCTATGCAATTCACTATTGCTCCAATACAGTTCCATATAGTTCCTTATAGCTGCAATACAGTCCCATATTCCTCCAATACAGTTCCACGTAGCTTCAACACAGTCCTATATAGTTCCGTATTGATCCAATACAGTTCCATAGAGCCCCGTACAGTTCCATATAGGTCCATATTGCTCCAATACAGCTCCATATAGTTCCATATTCCTCCAATACATATCAAGATAGCTTCAATAAAGTTCCATATAGCTTCGATACAGTTCCATATAGCTCCAATACAATCCCATATTCCTCCAATACAGTTCCATGTAGCTTCAACACAGTCCTATATAGTTCCCTATTGATCCAATACAGTTCCATAGAGCGCCGTACAGTTCCATGTAGTTCCTTATAGCTCCAATACAGCTCCATATAGTTCCATATTCCTCCAATACATATCAAGATAGCTTCAATAAAGTTCCACGTAGCTTCAATACAGTTCTATATAGTTCCCTATTGCTCCAATACAGTCCAATAGAGTCACGTACAGTTCCATATAGCTCAAATACAGTTCGATATACATAGTTCCAATGATACTATTTCAAAGTTTTATATTGTTTACATATCGTGTAATTTGTCATTGTAGATAACGAATTTCGTTTGCGAAGAGATCATCAATTCGACGACTAATTTCGTCCAATCGAAATCCGATCGGCACGTCATGTGGGACTTGAAGGTCGACGAAGATTTCCACTTGATATTGCAATTGGTCCAGGATCACTGCTCGTTGTTGGGATACAAGATTTATTCGTACGCCAGCGCCATGCACAAATCACAAGTAAACTGGCCACTTATATTCCTAAATTTTTCTTTCATAACTGTCTAGAATGATTTAGAACGCTTCAGAACTGTCTAGAATGATTTATAACGCTTCAGAAGTGTCTAGAATCAGTTAGAACGCTTGAGAACTGGCTAGAATAATTTAGAATGATTTAAAAGGCTTCAGAATTGTTAAAAATGGTTTGGAGTGGTTTAGAACACTTCAGAACAATCTAGAATCAGTTAGAACGTTTCAGAACTGTTTAGAATGATTTAGAACGTTTCAGAACGGCCTAGAATGATTTAGAACGCTTCAGAATTGTCAAGAATGGTTTAGAGTGATTTAGAACGCTTCAGAACTGTTTAGAATGCTATAGAGCGCTTCAGATCTGCCTAGAATGATTTAGAATGATTTAAAAGCCTTCAGAATTGTTAAAAATGGTTTAGAGTGGTTTAGAACGCTTCAGAACAATCTAGAATCAGTTAGAACGTTTCAGAACTGTTTAGAATAATTTAGAAGAACTTCAGAACAATCTAGAATCAGTTAGAACGCTTCAGAACAGTCTAGAATGATTTAGAACGCTTCAGAACTGTTTAGAATGATGTAGAGCGCTTCAGATCTGCCTAGAATAATTTAGAATGATTTAAAAGGCTTCAGAATTGTTAAAAATGGTTTAGAGTGATTTAGAACGCTTCAGAATTGTTAAAAATGGTTTAGGGTGATTTAGAACGCTTCAGAACAATCTACAATCAGTTAGAATGTTTCAGAACTGTTTAGACTAATTTAGAAACACTTCAGAACAATCTAGAATCAGTTAGAACGCTTCAGAACAGTCTACAATAATTAAGAACGCTTCCGAACGAATTAGAACTATCCAAACCAACTTACAATTGTCCAGAATCGCTTCGAACCATTACAGAAACGAATCGGGACCATTCGAAATCATTTATCATTGCTATTCCCTTTGCTTGTATGCTAAATTTCCGACGATTCGTCGCAGGTACTGGCCGAATTGGATTTCAGGATCAGCAAATTGGCGCTGTCGGTCGAGCTGCTGATAGTAGCCCACGATTGCTTCACGGCCGATTGCAACATGGAAGGCATATCGACGGTGTTGAAAAAGTGCCAGGACGTCGTGGCGCATCTGGCGACGCTGCGCAGCTGGAAGATGATCGTCAGACTATTGACGGGCGTCGGCCGGTACGCCGAAATGAACTACGCCTTGCGCATACTCGAACGGAACGACCAATTCGAGTTTCTGTTGCGGAAAGGTTCGCGCAAAGACGACGCCCTCAAGACCGCCCTGTTGGAGTACCTGAAGAAGTACTGTCCCGACGACAAGGAGCTGTACAAGATGGTCGCCTTGCATTTCGCCCTGTTCTCCGAGGTGGCCTTGTTGTGGGAGCGAGAGGCCCGAAGCGTCGTCAAAAATCTCATAGCCATATCGATGTTGGAGATGCAGAACAACAAGTTGGATCCCGACGCGGAGCCGTTCGTGTTGTTTACCAACTCGGAGGGTACGAAAATGTGTTTGAATAAGGTTGGTAAAATCGTATTAAAAAGGACATTTTCGCGCTCGCTAGGCAATGACGTCACGAGCCGACATGTTGCAACGTTGCCGGGTTGAAATGAAAATCTTGATGTGACAGATATGTTTAATTTAAAGGTTATGTTTACTTTCATTGTTTAGAAATTAAAAAGAAGAAATGCATTAGGCTGCAATCCGATTGACGGGAGAGGTGTTTATTTGCAACGATATGTACATTTAAAAAACTATTCGTAAGTTTAACATAACCTATAAATTTCAATGTTCTGAACTATCGAAAATATCGATCTGTATTTATTGATCCCCGTTCCCTCTCAAAATAGGTCGAAAAAAACCGAAAATCTCGGGAGAAACTGTCGATAAATGTACATAAACCGCACGAAAAAGTATCTAGAACGCACGAAAAACTATCTAGAACGAACGAAAAACACAAAACCTACTCGTAAACTTGAAAAAATACAGGAAAATCGCGCAAAAACAACAAATTGTTGTCATAACCTGTCAAAGTGTCAACTACAAAGCGCCGCTAAATATTGCGAATGTTGAGACTAAATGCATGACAACATCGCCTTCGACTTTCAACTACTTCAAATTCCCCTAGTCAAATGGGAAAATTAACATTGACACTAGGGAAATGTTGAACTGCGTGGATATGAATGACGTCGTCTAAAAATGACGTCATTGCCTAGCGAGCGCGAATGTCCTTTAGTTTTTCGGATTGGTTTATACCAGCGGATCTGTTTCAGGCCATTGAAAATTACACACACGCCACCGAGTTCCATTTGCAAGGCGAGAAACCGGCGAAGGCGATGCACTCGGTCAAACAGGCCGAGTTGATAGCCTTGCAGATATCGCTGTTGAAGAATCTGCCGAACAACGGGACCGCTTTGTGCCTGTTGAACTTGCACCAGCACCAGATTGTTAACGTCATATCCAATCAGCTTAGGTAATTTATTGGGCACCGATGCGACCCTGTCTATAGAATAGATTCAGAGTAGAGTAGATTCAGATAAATTCAGAATAGAGTAGATTCATAGAAGAGTAGAATAGATTCAGAATATAGTAAAGTAGAGTAGAATAGAATAGATTCAGAGTAGAGTAGAGTAGACTCAGAATAGAGTAAAGTAGAATAGAATAGATTCACAGTAGAATCAGAGAAGAGTAGAATAGATTCGGAATAGAGTTGATTCAGAGAAGAGTAGGATAGATTTAGAATATAGTAAAGTAGAGTAGAATAGAATAGATTCAGAGTAGAATCAGAGAAGAGTAGAATAGATTCGGAATAGAGTTGATTCAGAGAAGAGTAGGATAGATTTAGAATATAGTAAAGTAGAGTAGAATAGAATAGATTCAGAGTAGAGTAGAGTAGACTTAGAATAGAGTACAGTAGAATAGAATAGATTTAGATTAGAATCAGAGAAGATTCGGAATAGAGTTGATTCAGAGAAGAGTAGAATAGATTCAAAGTAGCGTAGAGTAGAATAGAACTAGATTCTGAGAAGAGTAGAAGAGATTCAGAATAGAGTAAAGTAGAATAGAGTAGATTCAGAGTAGAGTAATAGATTCAGAGAAGAGTAGAGGAAATTCAGAATAGATTTGATTAAAGAAGAATAGAATAGAGTAGAATCAGAGAAGAATGGAATAGATTCAGAGTAGAGTAGATTCAGATAAATTCAGAATAGAGTAAAGTAGAGTAGAATAGAATAGATTCAGAGTAAAGTAGAGTAATCGATTCAAAGAAGAGTAGAAGAAATTCAGAATAGAGGATTAAAGAAGAATATAATAGATTCAGAATAGAGTAGAATCAGAGAAGAATAGAATAAATCCAGAGTAGAGTAGATTCAAATAAATTCAGAATAGAGTAGATTCAAAGAAGAGTAGAATAGATTCAGAATAGAGTAAAGTATATTAAAAAGTAGTAATATCTCGAAAAGTATTAAATTTAAGTATAGGAAATGAAGTATATGCAAATGTCCCACGTTGGTTTCTTTGACCAAATTAGAATACAGGGTCGCAAATACATTGTAAACACCACCGATTATTATAATAATAATAATTTTATCATTCTACAGTTTCGATCAAACATTGATATTGATCCAATCGTACAACTACCATCCCGATTGGTCGTCGGTGCTCTTCGAACAGTGCATAGTGAAAAACAACCAGCAATATTTGGCATCGTTTCTGAGACATCGTCCTTTGACCGAGTCCTTGGTGAACGACATATCGAGGAAATTCCTTTCGGCTAACATCGATACGGCTCGCGAATTGAACAGCATGAAGGCCATTTTGAACAAGGTGCCTTCGGTGCACGTGAAGTACAGGATTTCGAGCGAATTGGGATTCGTCGATGTGGTGGAGGAGTTGTTGCGCGGCGGGCAATTGGCTTATTTGAAGGATACTGTGTGGAAGAAGGGCTACAAAGGTTAGTTGATTTGTTCTTCTTCTTCTTCTTCTTTTTTTTTCTATTTTGGGCTTTATCTTTTAGGATAATTCACCCAGTAGTAGATTTGTTTTGGAATTGTTTTTATTGGATCTATGTTCGTTGACTGAGTCATTCTCGTGTTGGGTGACATTTTATTATTTTTTTTTTAATTTTACTATAAAGTAATAAACAAGGTGTGTGTATTTAATAAAACACCGAAAAAATTTAAGGGGTGATTCTGTGATGAAAATTAAGGTGGGTACTTGGTTTAAAATTAATTTGAAAAAACACTACCCTCTGAAGATTGAAAAAAAATGGTTTTTCTTCTTTATTTTCCCTGTATATTAAGCTAAAGACACGAAACTTGGGGAACATTAGTTGTCAATGAAACTCCACATTTTGAATTTTTTTCAACAGTGACGTACGCTTAGAAGGGGTTGAAAGTCAACCTAGGGGTTGGAAAATATTATTAACACATTTTTTTCTACAACTTTTTTAGATGAAAATTTTTCTTTTAAAAAAATATGGTCGAAAAACCCAATTCATTTACCAACTTTTTTATTTCTACAAGTTTTTTCAGAGTAATTTTCATCACAGAATCACTCTTTAAATTTTTTCGGCGTTATTTAGATACTGCCTGTATATACCGATGTTATCGATTTTCGAAGACTGTTTATTTTAAGTGCAATTTAAGTTTTTACTATTTTTTTAGAGAAATTTATAAACTTTACAAGTTATTAAGTTCGTAAGAACAAAGTGTATTTTATCCAATGTGATTATAGTTAATTAACTTACCTCTGTGATTTATATGGAAAAATAAAACTATCTAATTTTTTTATATCTTGAATTTATACCTGCTAATCATTAGAAAATTAGGGGATTAATAAAAACTGTTTATTAATTCAAAAAAAAAATAATTTTATTAAATAGAAAATATTACATACATTAAAGCTATGTTTCAATTATAATGCTCTAGAAAAATAATAGGTAAAACCTTATAACTTGCTGAGACTTTGACTCAATAGAATTTGTAAATAATACATTTATTGCTTTACATTCATTTGGAAAAATTTATATTCGTGACTTGTATACATATACATATATTTATATCTTATATAACATTCATTTTTATCTAATATTTAGATATATTTTTTTTTCAACTTGAGTTACATACATTTATCAGGATCTGATAACGTTACGGGTAATGGTTCGTAAATAAATACATTTCGTCTTTTTTTGTTCGAAAGACACGTTGATTGTTCAAGTATCACAATATTTTCGTTTTTTCGGATAATTAACATGCTTGTTCCCAACGAATATATTGCTTAGGATCAGTCGTGTATAAATAATATTCGTATTAAACATTTAAAATAATTACAGGGTATTAATTAATTGAGTGCTTATACTTCAGGATGTGAATATTTGATGATTTTAAGAAGAAAAGTTTATTTAAATATATGTCCAAACTCCTAGTTTTCGAGCTAGAGGGTGTTAAAATTTTAGAAAAAAAATAACTATAAAATAATAAGAAAATTATGATAGAAAAGGTAATTTTTCTTCTAAAATTGTAACACCCTGTAGCTCGAAAACTAAGAGGTTTAGGACATTTATATTAGTATAAACTTTTCTTCTTAAAACCATCCATACATTCACATCCTTAAATATCGGCACTCAATTAATTAACACCCTGTATAGTACTATGTGATAGCTTTGATTGACGAGTACGCTGGCAGTACTTACAAGGATTTGTCACTATCAATTCCAGAATTACTTAAAGAAATCGTTACAATTTCAGCTCAATTTATTTGAGGTTTATTGACCATTTCGAAACACCGGTAACAGCTATCAGATCCCGCTAGAATTACAATAATACAGAAAAAAAATGACTAGAAACAATTTGTGTGTAACATAAATAGATTATTTTCACTACGCCAGGTAACTAAAACGAAAGTGAGCGTGATACAATTCTACCTTACACACCGTTCGAAATAATAAAAACGTACTTTCTATTTAGAAAACTCCCTACATTCCGGTTTTTGATTAAAATTTGAAAGGGCTTTCAACAACGAAGAGCCGTGTCAACAATGCGTAAAATCCTATGAAACGAATCCCTTATCGAATTATTTAGGTGTACCTTTTTTTCAACTGTGATGGAATGACTGCTTATCATTTACGAGGGTATGGTGAAAAGTTCTCGGCCCGAAACGTTTAGAACGCTCCCAAGATCATTTTAAAATTGTCTAGAAACCTTTTAAAACGCTCCAAAAACATTTAGAACCGTCTAAAACCATTTATATTGGTTCATGACCATTTGGAACGCTCCCGAATCAATTAGAACTGCCTATAGAATCATTTAGATAGCTTCAGAACCATTTAGAACTCTCCAAAATCATTTAGAACTGCCTAGAATCATTTAGAGCTGCCTAGAATCATTAAGAACGCGCCAAAATCATTCACAATATCTAGAAACAATGATTTTGACTGCAATGCAACTAACTTTTCACCTTACCCTTGTATATTAGCGCACCGACTCATTAGTCGTTTATTATAAAAATCAACTGGTCTGGCAGTATTTTATACTTAATTTATATACTTAATAAAAAAACAATGTTAATAAATACCTATAAATTAACGAAATGTCAATAAATTAGATGCCACGAGGTATAAAAAAAAACAACGTCTGCGATATTTTTCTACCACAAAAATTACAAAAATAAATTACATTACTCCACAGTAAAAAAAAATACCACAGACATACAAATCATATTACACACCGGATAATACGAAGCAAACACGTTTTGAAAAAGCTACATCCACATACCTTGATACCGTTTCGAAAAACTCATACCATAAGGGTGTTTTCACACGCTGCAATATATTGCAGCAATAAATTGCATTGCAGTTAAAATACCTCGTTCAAACGGGTAGTTTTCGCACGTTTCATTTTTATTAAGAGCGTTTTCACACGGTGTAATATAAAGGGCTTTTCACGGTAACCGTTCATTTGAAGTATCTCAATAATGAAAAGACTTAAAAATCTGAAATTTTGGTTATAGTATTTTTTGGATAATATGAATTAATCTGAAATATTTTCATTTTGATTACACTTCCGGTTATACCGGAAGTTGACACCAACTTCGTTATTTTATATGGAAAGTGCCATTTTTAACTTCATTTTTGAATTCTATGGCCTTTTTTAACTAGACTTTGATAATACCATAAGCCAAAAATGCACCATTTTTAAGATATTACAATTTTTTTGATATTTTTTTGGAAAAACAGTCGAATGTATTTTCTGTGATATCTCTGTTAATAATGCAGCTAGAAGCTTGAAATTAAGTATCGATGATGTCCAGACACACTTCTAAATGAAACTAAATTGTATTTTCAGAATCCATGTACAGGGCGTTTAAAATTGTCTGACAAACTTGGCCAAATTAGTGTGGTCAAAACTTTGTTATTTCAAATGGATCACCTTGTTTTTTTAACAGTGACAAATGCAGTTTTTTAAGCCCTTTCGATCCATATGGGTATTCCCTATACCCAAATCCAGTAGTTTTTGAAATAATCGAAGTCTTATTAAATAAGGTATGAATTTTCTTTTTTTTTGAGTTATCTCACCCTTTTCTGACCCGCTTTTCTGAACTGCAATTTCAATATACTACTGAAATATATTGCACAGTAAAAAAACGCCCTAACGCTTGTATAAAAACTGCAATGCAATATACCTACTGCAGTGATGTTAAATTAATTACTTTATAATATGTAATTAATTACAATTACAATTACTTTTGGCAAATTGTAATTAATTGCAATTACAATTACAAAATTTGCGAATGTAATTACAATTACAATTAAAGTTACAATTACAATCACAATTACTTTGCTTTGGTGTCATTTTAAATAACTATTTAGGTACATATTCCTAAAAACCTCATTAACCTTTTCATGGAAACAAGATATTAATAGAAGATATAATACTTATAGAATATGTTTTAAACTTTAATCCAAGCAGGTATATACCCCGACTGCCTGGCTAGGAATTTGCAATCGGAATTAAACTTTCCACGTATTGAACTGGAGTACTTTTGTGTCCAATGTAATTGAAATGTAATTATTGTAACGAAAGGAGCAATTGAATTACAAATGAATTACAATTGAGGAGCTTGTAATTAATTACCGCCTCAATTACAATAAAAGTAATTCAATTACTTGTAATTAATTACTTAACAACACTGACCTACTGCAATATATCGCATCTTGCGCAAAACGCTCCCGAACCATCGTCGATCGCCCTCCCCAAATTACGAGCTGTAATTCTGATGCCTCCTTCGCTTGAACACCAAAGCGAATATGCTGCGCAACCGCCACCATTTGCTGTGCCTGTTCGGCTTGCGATCGTGCACCGGCAGGCCGAGCTTCTCGCGCTCCTTGTTCCGGATCTCGCGCACCAGCGTGTGGAACGCGTCGTCGACGTACGTCCTCAGGCAGGCCGACGTCTCGTAGAAGGGACAACCGAACTGCCTCGCCAGCCCTTTGCCCTCCTCGGTGCTGACTTTGCGCTGCATGTGCAAATCGAACTTGTTGCCGACGAGCACCAGCGGCGTGTCCTCGGTGGCGCGCACTTTTTGGATGAGCTTCTTGTATTCGAGCGCCTCCTGGAAGCTGTGCCGATCGGTCACGCTGTAGCAGATGAGGAAGCCTTCGCCGCACCGCATGTATTGGTCCCGCATCGCGGTGAACTCTACCTGAGATTTTTTTTTTTGGATAATTTTTATTAAGGCTTGTGTAAAAACTGTAATATACAGGGTGTTTCCTAAACATGCGGCAAAAATTCAGGTGGTTGTTCCTTGGACTATTCTAAGAATATTTTGTCCTTTGATGATTTTTGAAAAACCTCTTTGTTTCGAAGATACAGGGGAAACAAAATTTTAGATAATAACATTTTATTATGAAAAATTACATGAAAATTTAACTTAACCTACAAAAACTGTTGAAAATGACCACCTCTAGCCAGCATACAAGCATCCAATCTTCTCCTCATCCCCTTCGTTCTCCTCAGTTTAATCTGTATTCCTTTACCATCTGAACTTATCAATTTTAAGTCAAAAAACTGACCGTTTTTAGTAATTGGAATGTTGTTAAACAAATTTAAAAATAAATTATACCTACTTAGTAAACACAGTGCGGTACGCATTTTTATTTAAACTATTATTAATTTTAAAAATATGAAAAATGTTGTTCGCCCTGTATCTTCGAAACAAAGAGGTTTTTCAAAAATCATCAAAGGACAAAACATTCTTAAAATAGTCCAAGGAACAACCCCCTGAATTTTTGCCGCATGTTTAGGAAACACCCTGTATTGCATCGTGTGAAAACGGTCTAAAGTGAAAAGTTCTCGAAATGATTCTGGAGCGTTTTAAATGACTATGGAGCGTTCTAAATGGTCCTGAAGCGTTCTAAATGGTTCTGAAGCGATCTAAATGATTCTGGAGCGTTCTCTATAAATCTGGAGCGTTTTAAATGACTATGGGGCGTTCTAAATGGTTCTAGACAGTTCTAAATGATTATTGATCGTTCTAAATGACTTTGAAGCGTTTTCTAAATGATTCTGCAGCGTTCTATATGAATCTGAAGTGTTCTATATGAATCTGGAGTGTTCTATATGAATCTGGAGTGTTCTATATGAATCTGGAGTGTTCTATATGAATCTGGAGCGTTCTATATGAATCTGAAGTGTTCTATATGAATCTGGAGCGTTCTATATGAATCTGAAGTGTTCTATATGAATCTGGAGCGTTCTATATGAATCTGGAGCGTTTTAAATGAATATAGAGCGTTCTAAATGATTCTGGAGCGTTCTAAATGGTTCTGAAGCGTTCTATATGAATCTGGAGCGTTCTATATGAATCTGGAGCGTTCTATATGAATCTGGAGTGTTCTATATGAATCTGGAGTGTTCTAAATGGTCCTGAAGCGTTCTAAATGGTTCTGAAGCGATCTAAATGATTCTGGAGCGTTCTATATGAATCTGGAGCGTTCTCTATAAATTTGGAGCGTTTTAAATGACTATGAAGCGTTTTCTAAACGATTCTACAGCGTTCTGAATAGTTTTCATCAGTTCTAAATGATTCAGGCCGAGAACATTTCACCCTACACTCGAGTGTAAAAGATATGTTATAGAGCTGTTATTCAGCCAAATATTCGTTATAAATAGACGTTCGGGTAGGTAACTTACTTGTCCTGCTGTATCCAAAATATCTAATAGAGCGGGTTCTCCGTCGATGACTGCTTGTTGTTGATAGGAATCCTCTGTTAATAAAGCGCAAGTTAATCGGATATAGTATTGAATGAGTATTTTATAATTACCGATAGTGGGATCGTGGTAGTCTAGGAAACTGTGGCTTACGAATTGTAATGTAACAGCTACAAAAAAAAACGTATCGTTAATCGAGTAAACTCTGTACATATCCACCTACTTCAAATCGATATCGTTAATTAATTATCTCCTTTATGAACACAAGCTAATTAATATGTGAAAATGTCAGGGGTTAAGTAAACTTTTCTATACACTTTAACTACTACTTAATATGCATACAATGATTGAAAAAAGAATGAAAATATACCTGATTTTCCGACGCCTCCATCCCCTAACACCACGATTTTGTACACCCTTATGCCGCTCCTGGTTTTATCCTGGCAACTTACTCCAGCTATGGGCCGATCGACGTCGATGTCCGAATCCTTGGCCGATCTGTTCGATTCCTGCCTGGATATTTTCCCTTTCTTTTTGTGGCTCGCCTCTCCGGCCATTTCGGTCGTTTGAAGAGCCGGGGGGTTCTCGATGGTCGAATTTTTTTACTCCGTCATGGAAAATCGACTCGCCGGGTTCCTATTAACTGTAACGGTTGCTCATGGTTGATTTGAATTCGGCGACAATAGCGGAGATTGCTTTTATTTCTTTATATGTTTGATATTACACCGAATTAGCCTACCCCCACGACCCGACCCAAAACATTTAACGCTAATTGTGACGTTTAAAACGTCAGTTAATTACTTCTTTTTGTTCAATAATTAATGGCCTCCACCTAGAGAGTATTTGGCCAGCGCTGGTTTTCGCTTTGTCTTGATTCAAGGCAAAACTTGAAACTTCTTTTGTGTTTTAGATAATTTATTTTGCGTTATTTCTTTACATCACTTTGTGATGTTCAACTTTATTAGTTCGGAATAGAACCCTCTACTTGATTATTATGCTGTTCTTAAATATAAAGAAGAAATAGGTTAGGAGAATTGTCAAAATACTTCCAAATACCGCCAAAATATTGAATTGTTTAGTGGAGTATATAAACTTTTAAAATTATCCTGAAATTATGGATAAAAGAAAACTTTCATCCCCAAGGCACGGCTCAAAGAAGCTGAGGTAACGTAACTCAAAACAAATATTATTTCTTTCTACACTACCTTTCTACATACATTATAGTATTTATTAGTGCTATTTTCAACATTTCCAGGAGTGACACCTTTGCAAGACCTCCCGTACCAGATTTAAGTCCCTTAGAGGACAATTTGATATTCCAGGAGTTGGAATTGGAGCATTACATCGGGCAGGTTTATCCTGGAATGCCAGGACCACAGAAAGGATTAGTTCCCATAGTACGCCTGTTCGGAATCACCAAGGAAGGTAACAGCGTGTGCTGCCACATCCACGGGTTTTCTCCCTACTTTTATATCAATCTACCGAAACCTCTGAGCAACACAGAAATTACTACGTTTCGAAGTAAATTAAACGAAGCCTTATTGGCCGATTCAAGCACGAAAGGTTTGTGTTAACACTACTTCGTAATGTAATTAATAACGCAGAATGTACGTAGGTGATCTTCCCGAACCCGTTCTGATGGTAGAACAAGTCCAAGGCAAGTCTCTGGTGGGCTATTTGGGCGACGAAGATAAAACCTTCGCGAAAATAACAGTAGCCGTACCGAAACTAGTAGCGGCCGCAAAGAGAATCATAACCACGGTGACATTCTACCAACCGTTGGCCAGCCACACTTTCTTCACGTACGAATCGAACGTCGATTTCGAAACTAGATTCATGGTCGACACGCACATCCTGGGTTGTTGCTGGATAGAATTGCCGGCCGGTAAATGGTTTCAACGAAGCGCCACCAGCGTTTCGAGGTGCCAGATCGAAGTCGACGTATCGTGGAGCGACTTCATCGTGCACGCCCCGGAGGGAGAATGGGCGTCAGTCGCTAAATTCAGAGTACACAGCTTGGATATTGAATGTGCCGGCAGAAAGGGGATATTCCCCGAGCCCAAGGTCGATCCCATCATCCAAATCGCCAACGTGGTGAAGCTGCACGGCGACAAAGACGTTTTGCACAGGAACATATTCACGTTGAAGTCCTGCGCCCCCATCGGTCACGCGGACGTGTACAGTTTCGATAAGGAGGAGGATATGCTCGAAGCCTGGGCGGATTTCGTGAGAAGCCTCGATCCCGATGTATTCACCGGCTACAACATCAACAACTTCGATTTTCCCTACATGATAGACCGCGCTAATTTCCTGAAATTGAAGAAATTCGCTTACTTAGGACGGCTGCTCAACGTGCCTTCGCTTATAAAAGAAACTACCACGCAAACTAAGATCGGCAAAAGAACGTACAAACACATCAATTTCGAAGGAAGAGTGGCTTACGATATGCTGATAGTTACCAAACGAGACTTCAAATTACGATCGTACACACTAAACAGCGTGTGTCAGGAGATTCTGGGCGAACAAAAAGAAGACGTGCATTACAGCATCATCACGGATCTACAAAACGGAGACGAACAAACCCGAAGGCGATTGGCCGTTTATTGTTTAAAAGACGCAGAATTGCCTTTGAGACTCCTCAATACGGTACTCAGCTTCACTAACGACATAGAAATGGCCAGAGTGACAGGCGTACCCATCACGAGTCTGCTAACCAAAGGAGAACAAGTAAAAGTCATCGCGCAGCTGTTGAGGCACGCCAAACAAGCCGGTTATTTCATGCCGGCTCATCAAGGAGGCCCGACATCCGATCAATTCGAAGGAGCGACAGTCATAGAACCGATCAGGGGCTATTACACGGAACCCATAGCCACTTTAGATTTCAGTTCGCTGTATCCCAGCATCATGATAGCCCATAATTTGTGTTACACGACGCTAGTTCAGCCGGGACAGAAGGAGAAACTGGGACTTACGGACGATCAAATTACCAAAACGCCGGCGGAATGCGTTTTCGTGAAAAACACAGTACGACCGGGACTGCTACCTCACATTCTCCAGCATCTCTTATCCGCCAGGAAGAAAACTAAAGCGTTGTTGAAAGACGAGAAAGATCCGGTCGTGAGGACCGTATTGAACGGTAGACAGTTGGCTTATAAAATCTCCGCTAACTCGGTGTACGGTTTCACCGGAGCCCAAGTGGGCAAGTTGCCCTGTCTCGAAATATCCGGCAGCGTTACCGCCTACGGCAGAACCATGATCGAGCAGACCAAGCAGGAGGTCGAGCAGCATTATCGAAAAGAAAACGGCTACGAAGCCGACGCTAAGGTGATCTACGGAGACACGGATTCCGTGATGGTGAATTTCAACGCGTCGTCGTTGAAGAGAAGCATGGAATTGGGCGAGGAAGCGGCCGCTTTGGTCAGCCAGAAATTCATATCGCCCATAAAGCTCGAATTCGAAAAGGTTTACTACCCGTACTTGCTCATCAACAAGAAGAGATACGCCGGCTTGTACTGGACGAACACCGAAAAATACGATAAAATGGATTGCAAAGGCATCGAAACGGTTCGAAGGGATAATTGTACGTTGGTAGCCGATGTCATAGGAACCTGTTTGCAGAAGTTGTTGATAAATAAGGACCCCGACGGTGCTGTGAGTTACGTTAAACAAGTCATTTCGGATTTGCTGCAAAACAACGTGGATATTTCCCAGTTGGTTATTACCAAAGAACTAACTAAATCCGATTATGCGGCTAAACAAGCTCACGTTGAATTATCCAAGAAAATCACGAAAAGAGATCCCGGCAATGCTCCCAAATTAGGCGATAGGATACCATATGTAATCATCGCAAGTACAAAAAACGCCAAAGCCTACGAGAAAGCAGAAGATCCTATATACGTTCTGGAAAATAACATACCGATCGATTCAAACTATTACCTCGAAAACCAACTATCGAAGCCTCTGGTGAGGATTTTCCAACCGATTTTAGGCGACAACGCCGAATCCATACTACTTAGAGGCGAACACACCAGAAGCAAGACAATGGTGACATCCAAAGTAGGCGCTCTATCGGCCTTTACCAAGAAAAAAGAAGCCTGCATAGGCTGCAAATCGGTCCTGACCAAAGGCTACGAACAGGAGGCGGTTTGCGCCTATTGCAAACCGAAAGAAGCCGCCATCTACCAGCAGGAGTTGAGCCATCACAAGATGCTCGAGAACCGATTCTCCGCTTTGTTCACCGAATGCCAGAGGTGCCAGGGATCGTTGTACGAGGAGATCCTCTGCACCAGCAGGGATTGCCCGATATTTTACATTCGCAAAAAGGTGCAGATGGAATTGGAGACCACCCGAGCGAAAATCGGCCGATTCGGGGAGCCTGTTATCGTCGAAGACTTGTTTTAGTTGTACAGGTATTTTTTTTATATTAGACTACTTTTTTTTTACGAATAAAATGTGTATTTTCGCCTTTATGAGGCGCCTCTGTAACCTATGTAGTTTGTATGCCCTTTGCAGGGGCGGCTGCAGGGCTGATGAATTATTGGGAACTTCTCCTAGAGTATCCACGCTCTTAGTAGAAGTTGTACATTAAAATTCGAAATTAGGGGGAGGCAATCGAGCGAAATTTCTGGGTAAATGATCGCTGATTACAAAGCGTTTTTCGTTGTCTTGTACGATCGTTTCGAGGTATCCGAACCAGTAAATCACCAAGCCGGGTCCGAAGCTACAAAATTACCGATTAACTACTAACATTTGCAATCAAATTCGCTCGATTTACCGGTTGTAATAGCTCGTGTATTGATTTTTGATGTACTCTTTGTGCACTTCGGTTTCGCCGAAGAGCGCTTTGCTTTCTATCCAGTTTATGATGAATCCCTTTATGCAAATCGGTACTTCTAATTTACAATCGGGCGTTTTGTCGTAACCGTGCTTGCGCAGATGCTCCTCGTCTCTGAATCCCAAACCCAATTCCGTGGCTTCTCTGTTTAATCTGATCTCGTATTGTTGACCTAAAGAACTAACAATTTCAACTAATAAATCGATTCGAGAAATGCTTGTTTACCTCTTCATCACGTCTGTTACAGGACTGTAAATATTATCATACAAAGTACACTAAAAAGCAAATTATGATGATTATTTTATACTCCAGTTAATTCCGATAGAGTACTTACTAAGTATACTTCGTATGCCAGTTTGGGATCGTTTATCAGTGAAGTCTCTCTAAGATACACGTTAATATTCGAAACGGGTTGTTCCTCGTTATTGTCTTTATAAAACTCGTCGAAATATCTGTGCAAAATAATTTTAGCGACTAAACAAGGCGCTACGTCTAAATTCTCGGCTATTCGTAATATTATACCGGAACGTTCGCGCTCTTTAACCGAATTTACATAAGACTGCCATATATTCTGTTTATTACTGTGCAATAGGGAATGGTTGGTCTTCATTCTTCTTTGGTATTCGAATTGTAGAATGCTGTATAAGGAGTCGCCGCTGCAACTGATTCATTTTGTTAGTTGAAATATGATAATATAAATGGTAATTACCTCGGGAATTTGTCGACGAGTTGTCTGTAGCAATCTATCGATAGGCCTTTGTGGTTTCTTATTGTAGAAATTATATTGTTATATAAAGTTAGGTTCATTTTTAAAGCTTTCTTTATGGAGAGCTGTTTTTTGTATAGGTTATGTTTTGATTCGTTCTGCTTCTTTTTATTTAATCGTTGACATAAATGTCAAAACTGTCAGTTTTGTTTCAAATTTCCAATTCGAAGTGGCCTCTAGTATTCAGATTATTCGGTTAGCTAATTATTATAATTAGTAATGCATTTTATTATTCAATTAGCGATGAACAAAGGGTAAAGGATATAATGAATGAGTTAATTTGAACACGAATTATCATCTGTTCAAAAAGCATTTAAAAGCGTTATAATAACCGATAATTCTCATAATAATTAACAAATTAGTTAACATTGCGAATAATTAATCATTAAATTTACAATGCTACGGTGTTCAATATACAGATAAGTGCAAATTTTTTTTCACAATGGGGACTATGGGTGCAATAAAGACAACTTTTATTAGTTTCGTAAAAAGAAAAAAGAAAGGGTGATAATATTGTGGAATTGCAACTTTCTCACTCTAACCACTGTTATTTTAATAATCTTTTTTGTTCAACTCATAGCAAACAAATACTATATAGCAAACAAATTTGCACTTACCCATACAGATAAGCTCAAAGTTGTCTATAGGTGCAACAAAGACAACTTCGCTGTCCCATATAAAGGAAAAAGGAAGGGTGATATTGTGGAATTACATCTTTCTTACTCTAACCACTGTTATTTTAATAATCTTCTTTTGTTCAGCTCATAGAATTGACTATATAGTAAACAAATTTGCACTTACCCCAACAGATAAGCTTAAAGTTGTCTATAGGTGCAACAAAGACAACTTCGCTTTCCATTATAAAGGAAAAAGAAAGGCTGATATTGTGGAATTATATCTTTCTTACTCTAATCCAAGTTATTTTATTAATCTTTCTTTGTTCAACTTAAAAAATTACCATAATGCAAATAAACCATATTGCACACAAATTTGCACTTACCCATATAAAGAATTCCGAAACAGCTAAATTGTAGAAATCCAGACAGTTTCCCTAGCGGCTGCCAAACAATTATTCAAATGCAGAATTAATTTTATCTAAACGACAAATCCATTCGCAAGCGATTTCGAATTACAAATTCTATTCAACATTATTTAATAAAACAATGTCATCGCCTGCTGGAATTTTTCAATCAAATCGAACAAATGAAATATTAATAAAACGAGCTCGTTCGATTGTTTTGACGTCTCGCAAACGCAAATAATAAATTTTAAATATATCCCCGACATTTTCTATTACAATCTATGTAGTCTATCGGATACGCCCGGGAATCACAGGAATTTTTAATTAAAACAAATCCGATAATTTTAACGAGTTGTATACAGTCGAGTCGATGCATAAACATCTTCTCCGGTCGAGCCAGATGTACACATCAATTTCCGCGAGTGCGTTAAAACTTTCGAGCCCGGCACGTTCCGAACAAACCTTTGAATATTTCATCCCATCGCGTCCACTAAAAACTTCGAAACCGACGCGTTTCAATTGCAACGACGCGCACCCGAACCGAACCTCCTCTCCGTCGAATCCGTCCAACTCCCGCCGAAACTTCGAATCTCTTTTCCAGTCTACCCGAGACCGCGGCGCCGCGACGCCACCGCTCATCGCCCGCCTTCCTCGAGCCATGTGAGAAGAGCGCGACAACTCCACGCGTCCGAAGAATTACCAAAAAAACCAAAAATTAAATACCCGAACGATGTAAAAATGTCGGCGACGGATCCGAAGGGCCAGCAGCCCGTCGCCAAGGGCGCCTTCTCCAAGCTGCCGGCGCACCAGGTCAACCCGAGCTACACGGCGCGCGTCGTCTGCTGCGTCGTCTTCATCTTCCTCACGGAGATCTTCCTCGCGCACTACGTCTACCGGCTGATCATCTCCGAGATGCGCGACCAGTACGTGGCGAAGGCCTCGTTCCGGCAGCACTTCCTGCTGGAGCTGCGCGACGGGGAGTTCAGGCGCGAGGTGGGCCGGATCGTCGAGGAGATGGACCGGCCGAAGGCCGTCCGAGGCAGGGAGAAGAGGAGCGTCGAGCACAAGTTGGGGTACAATTTGGGCGTGCAGGCCGAGGAGCCCCAGGTGGAGTTCTTCAATCCCAAGCTGCGGACGTTCGTCGATGCCAAGGACGAGGAGAAGGTGCTGGGGAAGAAGGAACTGGCGCCCGACGGGGATTCCTGGATATGGGTCACCAGTTCCAGTAGGATACCGGTTTGTATACTTTGTATACGGGGGCTCAATTCTCGATCATTTATTCACATGGGTATTCACAAAATTGGTATTCTTGACAAAATGTTTTCACACAAATAGTGCACGAATATTTTCCCATGGGTATATCTGTGTGGATTTGAAATTTCCAATGGAATTACTGCGCAATTGTGGTGGTATCATAGACCTATTAAGTAGTAGTTAATATCATGTTCTGTGGTCTATTTGTTATATTGTTTATTGATAAACTTAAATATGGAAGAAGCAGCTCTTCTTAATTTAGGAATAATGTTAGAAGAGGCCGAGATATTGGTCCATATTTTTAAAAATGAGGCATTTACTTTGAAGTAAAAGGTAGAAGCAAGAAGTAAGGGAAAAAGGTTTTAAAACCTTGCTTCAAAGTGGAATGCTGGAGATCCTTTCACCACTTTAAGTGATAAATAATTTATAGCGTTATTCAGGCTATACAAAGAAGTACTATCAAATCTTTTCGAGAACTTGAAGGCCTCTTAGAGCCACAATTAGTTATTGTCTTTGAGCTTCATATAGCCAGAGATATTAACAGAATATAGGTATTATATACTGCTCCACAAAAGTTAAGGAAGTTCACAAATATTGCGATTAATTTAAAAGTTACAGGTTTTTTGATCGCCAAATTTAGTATGAGTTGTAGAGGTAGGGACAAAAAATCCACTCAGATACGAAAGAAAACATTTAATTTCGCATATTTGAAAATTTGGTGATCAAAAAGTCTGTAACTTTTAAAATAATCGGAAAATTTGCGAACTTCCTTAACTTTTGTGGAGAAGTTAGTTTACAAATAGTACAATACTTGTATAGTACCAAAACATGAAGATGAAACATGACAAGTTTGCTGTCAATGTTGTCGCATAGTCAGGAATGTCAACATAACAATCGGAAATGGAGCAATGTGTGTAATTTATAATTGCGAGGTATTATAATTATAAACTCCCTGTATAAAACGGCGGATTTGCTGCATGAAAGGCGCCCGGAATATAATTACCTACTCGAAGAAAATTGCGCGGGACCTTGGAAAAATTAAATTATAGCGCTAAAGTTTTCAACCCTTTTCGTTAACTACATCGAAATATTACTTCAACGTGTTCGCGTTTAATTTATTCCTTTCGCCTCCGGCTAGAATTTAAAATTTTATACGAACTTAATTCGAAACATCAATCAAGCCTTGATTACTGGAAATCGTCAGTATAAATATTATTACACGTATAGAGATGCGCATTGCAAGTAATATCATTCGAAAGTTGCGCAGGTTAAGTCTCTAGTTATAGCTGTCGCACTGTAAGTAATAAATTGAAAACGCGGTATAAAAAAATACCAAACCAACAAATTAAAATACCACGATTTCCCCCCATTAATTCGAAGTAATGATGCAATAAAGATCTTCATCAATCATCCCGCTTGTCGATCTCTTTTGGATGGTTCTCCTTTTGTCGTCGAACGAATGGCGTCCTAACAATAAATCTGCCAATAGCAGGCGCTTCTTTTCCTTCATTATTTCCATAACTAGTCCAATTTCGCGAAAAATTCCTATTAAAAAAAATCCCCCGCTCAGCAAGCTCGGCCTTTCCGATCGGTCGCCATGTTGCCGCTTCAAACTACCATTTTCTTACAATCCGAGGAAAAACATTCGAGTAGAAATCGAGAATTTGGAATTGGCACTTTGCGAAGAGTAATAGGAAAAAATAAGAGAAATTAGGAAGAATTTAGCGAAAAATTAGGGAGATTTGAACATTTCTGGCTTTAGTTAGTAGAAGGTTCAGATACTAGAAGATTATTAGAAGAACCATAATGTTCAGTTACTAGAAGATTCACTGTAGAATGTCCAGGAACTAAATGTTTAGGTACCAGAAGATCCAGATAATAATAAAAGAATCAGATAGTAAAGTACCTACCTATCCAAAATTTTATCAGTTACTTAATGATCCATTCACTAGAATGCCCATGCAGACTTTTAAAGGGTCAATTACCAGATGATCCATGAATTAAAAGAACCAGAAACTAGAAGATTACTTAAAGATCCAGTAGAAAATTACTGATGGAAGATCCGAAATGTTCAGTTAGCCCACAGATACTTAAATGTTTAGTTACCAGATGATCCATGTTTTTGAATATCCAGATACTGGAAGGCCTCTACAAAGTCCTTTTACTAAAACATCCAGGTTAACTGTTGCTATAAAAGTTTCTAATAGTTGGTTCAGTAATAAGTAGCTCCAGAAGGTCCTTTTACCAGAGGTCCAAGTTACTAAAGCTAAAAGAACTGGTCACTAGAAGACACATTGTCTCGATACTCCAGTTATTAGAAGATCCAGTTACCAGAAAAATAAATTACAAGTTCCTTCAGGTCTACCCGACCGATCCAAATAACTCTAGAACCTGGATAAGGATAAGTTAAAAGCGGCAACGGAGCCAGAAACATTTTCACGCGGACCGAGCTTTTAATTTCGAAGGGGGGTTCGAAAGGAAAGCGGTTTTTAATCGAGAACGTATAATATATATCCCGAACAGACGGATCCGGTGAAATATGGGAGAGCCAGGTAACCGGGCGAAGGAGCACTTTGTCCCGATTAATTTTTCACCGTCCGATCGGCAATGACAAATCGCCTGGGCTGTCGTCCAGGAAAATTTCAATACAACTGCGAGAAGCTGTTTTCCCGGTTGATTCGTACAAGCGGGAATCCCGGATTTATTTACCTGGGATTCTTAGAATGCTCCCATGCAAGATTTATTAGCCTTTAATGTTCCGGTTCTTCGCCCCTTTTTCGCGTAGTAATTCAACGGTAATTACTGTCGCGTTCGTCGGATTCCTCCGGACGAGTTTGTCGTATTGTATAGAAATATTTTTTCCTCTCCCGCTCGCTCGATTTTTTTTTTGTATATACATCGAATTCGTCGGAACTTGACAGACATTAATTTCATTTCGCCGCCAGCGATCTGCTTGAATTTTTCATGGCGAACTACCAGTCCTTTTTCCAAATAAACAATTCGCCTAATAAAACGAAAACAAATTCAGGTAAATGTAATGAAAATATTCGAGAGGTCTTTATGCGAGCGAACTTTCCGGACCGAAATCACCCCCGCGCTAATTGAACGTGCAGGCAACTTCGGACGGGAGGAAACTTCCTGAAAACTCATTATTTACACCGTGTTGTGGCGATAGTAAAGTCATTTCGAAGTCGACAAACTGCCCTAATTAATCTGTTTGACGTTAAATCTGTCATATGTCGTACTTCAAGCGTTAACTGTCATGGTTGACGTGTCAACTGTCACGCTTCATGTGTCAACTGTCTTGCTTTGTACGTCATTTGTCACATTTTGAAATTATTAAACGGTTTGTTCGGAATAGCGCCGAGCGGGAAGCTATTAAGCGGTAAAATTGAATTTATTCGTATTTAGGTGCTGGAAAAAGAGCGCTGTTTTTCCTTCCTGTGCCGCCGAGATTGCTATATAATTTAGCTTAAAAGAAATTTATAAATGTCGGGCGAAAGAGGAGAGCCGAGGCGAATATAGAATTCCATTCGAGAATCCATTTCCTCCGACCGAAAAAAGCGTGTTTGTATTTATGCGGTTTTCATCCTCGTGGGCGCTTCCAATTTCTTTAAATAAACAACGAAATCATCGCGTTGATTTTCCTCTTCCGTATATGATTATCATAAATCTTACAAAACCGGCGAGGTAATCCCCCAAATCGCATTACTGGCGGCGTACGATTATTTTACGCTTTGAAATTTACATTTGACATTGACAATTGACATTAATAAACTACTGAAATGACGAATGACATTGACAATTGACATAAATTAACAACCCCGATGACGTTTGACATTAACAGTTGATAGGAGGTAGCGTATATAGCTAATCAAAAGGATATTTTCTCGCTGTTTGTTCGAATAATGAATAGCTTGTTAAAAATCTTGCAAGGAAAATATCGTACGAATTTCGTGTAACTCAATTTGCGAGAAAGGTGAATGCGCCCGAAACGATGTACTTTTCACCTTTCGCAACGAATTTATGACTGATGTAGTCCGGACAAATTGCCCATAAAAAGCGACGTGTTCCCCTTTTTCTCGCTCTGCAAGTTTTTACACCGACCGGAAAAATCTCTTCAGCGCCGTTTTCATTACTCCCAGTACAACTTTACAAACTCTATCGGGTCAAGAGCGTCAAACGTCAAACGTCAAACGTCAAACGTCAAACGTCAAACGTCAAACGTCAAACGTCAAACGCCAAACGTCAAACGTCAGATTTTCGAGGCAATGCCAACTCTACAAGTTGACTTGGTGGTTTCTTGCGATCAGAAAACCGCGTTGAAAACTGGCGAGTTCGGCGTGAAAATAACGGGGATTCGATGGCGTGGCGTTAATCGAAATAAATGCGGTCGGTGGGCGTAAAATGTTGACAGAGAGCAACATCCCGGAGGAAACGGAGCCGGAGAAAAGGCGGAAAACTCCCCGAAAAAAATATAAGCCTCCGGCGGCTTTTAATGGCCTTCGTGCTTTTACACCTTTTTCCATTATCGTTTCCGATATCTGGGGAGTTAGTTTTCCCGTTACCGTTCGTTGTGTACGCATACAAATGGATTAATTTTAAGTGGTCCTTCGGCTCGACGGAAGAAATTCAGCGATGCCAACTTGGTTTATTGACAGCGCGACAGGGATACCAACCGTTGTACTAATTCCCTTGGTAATTAAACTAAGCGAGTTGCGCCAGATATGCAATTTGGAGCGGGAAAAATGGGCGAAATGCTCTGCGTGTTTATCTTTGCAACAGACAGCGGTAAACTCTAATTATTCCGGAAGTTTACGGTCAAAAGTTAACGCTAGCAATGTTTATAGTTTAAGTTCCTCGAGGGCTGAAAACGAAATTTATTTCTTTAGTTTTCTTGTAGTTGCGGCGAGACAGTGAGTCAAGCGGCACTTGCTGATTTATAGTAGCAATTATTTTTTCTAATTTGTGGTATTTTATCT